TCTGCGTTTCCTCCCCCGCCAGTCCGACGTTCAAACAGTGCAAGGAATCAGAGGTGAGAGCTGAGGAAAGAAACATATATATGTTTATAAAGAGGTCCAACACCGAAGGAAAGAGCAACCAAACAGAGGAGTGAGACATAAATAAATAAGAAAGTCCGCAACACCAACAAAAAGGTAAGCCCTAACTCCGTTATTTGGCGTTCATAGAAATTGACACGCCTCTCGCACCAGCGTCCAGAAGGAAAGAAAAGGAAAACACCCATCTTAGATACTTTCACTTACTCCTTAGTGTACATAAACAAGCAAGAAAAAAAAGGCGGAACAGATGGGTAGAACAGAAAAGCGTGTAACCAATGAAAACTTCTACGAGGCGGCACATGAAGCGTAGTTGAACGCTGTGGTTTTACTTCTTCGACAGCGGTTGTCCACATTTTTTGTTTTGTTTTACAGAGAAGACAGAAAAAAAAAGAAAGAAAAAAAGAAAAAGAAAAAAGGATGCTTTGAAAAACTGGAATACTTGTAGTAGGTACCAAATACATCGGCGAAGCAGAAAAAGAATCAACTTGCGCCAATCTTCAAAAAACAAAGAAAAACTTCTTTCATTATCCATGTTCTGCAAGAGCTAAGTGCTTTAACAACCTTGCCAAATAAAAACGAAAAAGGAAAGAAAGAAAAGCTGAGTCTACCACATCAAATAAAAAGAGAAGAAGAGCACGACGAAGAACAACTACGAAACTCACATCGAGGAGCTCCAACGCGCCCGCCCACACACAGCACACCACGCGTCAGCATTCACGCACGCATCGTCCGATATTCTCCTGAGCAAAGCACAAACGAAGGGGAAAAAAAAGAAACAAAGCGTTCGACACACACACACACAAAAGAGCTACTCCTTGATACCTGCGACGATCAACTCATCATCGCCGTCGCCGATGCCGAGCACTTCCTGGATCTTCTCCATCCACAAGTCCCGCTCCACCTCACTCTTTGTTTGAAAGGACAGCCGCTTGCCCGTCTTGAAGGCCACGGCGAAGACAAAGTTGGCGTTGCAGCCCGTGTACTTGGCTGGCACCGGAAAGGCGTCCTCCAACTCTGTGAACGGGGTGGAGATGCATTGCTGCTCCATCGTCTCCTTCGAGATCGCCAGCACCATGTCAAGGGATTTGAATTTCGGATTGATGTCCAGCACGGTGTGCCCGTCCGCCAGCTCGGCGCGGATGCACAAGTAGCGCTTCTTCCACACCATATCGCTGCTCTGCTTCTTCACGGTGCCCTCGTGAATCGTGAGTCCGCCGATGGTCTCGGACAGCGGGGTGGCGCCTTCGAGAATCGTCGTCGAGGCCGCCACCGACGTGCCGGCGCTTTCTTCCAGTGCACGCTGAATCTGTCGCTTCTCCGTCGCGAGCATCCGCTTCGTCTCCTGGATTTGGTTTGAAATCGACTCGCGCAGGCCGCCCTGGAAGGCAGGCTGCGTCTGCACGATCTCCAGCAGGCCGGAGAGGAAGAGCTTGCAGATGGGCATGTTAAGCAGCCGGCTGCTGGACGGGCGGCGCACCGGGTCCCCGCTGAGGAGGGCCGCCACAATGTCGCGCATCTCGGGGCTAATGTTGCTCGGCAGAGGGTCAAAACGGCCCGCCAGCGTCTTGTGCATCACCTCGTGCATATTTGCACCGTCGAAGGGCCGCTTCAGCGTCAGCAGCTCGTACAGCAGCACACCGAGGGAGAACATGTCCGCCTTCTTGCTGTAGGGGCGGCGGCGCCAGATCTCCGGGGCTACGTAGTACGGGGTGCCGCAGAAGGTGCGGCCGACGTCGTCGCTGACGGTGTTTGCATACATCTTGCTGAAGCCGAAGTCGCCCAGCTTCACGAGGCCGTTGCTGCACAGTAGAATGTTGGCGCTCTTGATATCGCGGTGAATCATGTGCTTGGAGTGGACGTGGTGCACAGCGAGCAGCACCTGCAAAAAGAGCAGACCAGCTTCGTGCTCGCGGAACGTGCGGCCCGACCGGGCGCGGCTCTTGATTTCCTGCCGCAGGTCACCCGCGTTGGCGTAGTCCAGCACGAGGGAAATCATCTGCACGTTCTCCGGGTTGTTGGGGTCCCGCTTGGCAAGGTCTTCGTGGCACTTTAAAATGGAGAAGTAATCGCAGTTGAGCAAGCAGTCCACCTCCGCCTGCGCACGGTTCTTGTCCGCCTCTGACATGCCCTCCATGTCGACACACTTCACCGCAAAACCCTCGCCGTCGGAGACGCGCTTGGCGCACAGGACCGTGCCGGTGGCACCAGAGCCCAGAACGCGGCTAATCCAATACTTCTTGTTCTGCTCACGGGCCGTCGCCTCGTCTTTTGCGAACGTGTCCGGAAAGTTGCGGCACACGCGGCCGATCATCGCATCACCGTTGCCGCTAGACATGATGCAAGAGGGCGGGAGAGCTGGGCGCGATAACAATAAGAATAAGGTGTAGAGATATATCGAAAAGGGAGAACGCCTCTTAAGGGAGATAACCAACGCCTTTTGAACCCCAATAAAGCACCCAAGCGAGGTGCAGGCTGCTCTTCTTCTCTGCTTCGTCTGTCGAGTGTGTGTGGTCTCCCTTCTGTCTTCACGTGTTCGGGAAAACAGTACTATATGGAAATAAATTTGATGAACGTTTCTTTTTCAGATCCGCGATGGCGCTCGCGCGCAGGAACACGAGACGTTCGTCAAACCTAAATATATTTGTGTTTGTGAGAGAGTGTGAAGAGGAATACTTGAGAGGGACACGAGAGCTTTTTAAACAAAACAGAGAAGGTCAGTATTAACAATAATAACAGTAATAATAACAATAGACAGAGATGCTAGTTGCAATCAAATGAGGGAAAACGGTTTTGGGGTGAATTAACGGGCGTGAAGCTCCGCAGCTCTGCACCAGAGAGAGGTTGGTTTCCTTTTTAAGTTAGACCTAGAGGGGAAAAGCAAAATTGAATTGCTGCTGCTGCTGGTATGGTAGCGTAACGATGCAGACGAGCCACAAAACAGGAAAAAAAAAATAAAGCAAAAGAAAAGAGGCAGAGAAGAAAAAGAAGCGCGTGCGATTACAGGAGAGGGGAGGGGGGAGGGGTAATGTGACCTAGGAAAGAAGCAACAGCGTTAACACAATTGGCTGTCCAGATACTTCTCTTGTCGTCATAGAGACGCCTCCACCGAAAAGCCGCTTTCCGGCTTGTCGTCTTCTTTTCCTTTTACGGGTGTAGAAACGTGAGAAGGCGGCGCAGAACCGCCATCAGCTGTAGTTTCATTGACTTTCGTGTACATCTCCCACGACCAACTCTTGTCCGGATGACTTCACCAGACCTTCTTCCTTTTTTTTTACGTTTGCTATTCGAGTTATACTGCTTGCATTACGTTGGAGGATACAACAAAGGAAAGAGGGGGGGGGGGAAGAAGAAGAGCGAACACGGCTACCGGTGCACCTATACTGAGTGCGGAGCCAAACCTTCTCTGTACGTTGCGTTTTTCTACGGCTTTGCAACCCCCACATTCGCAACACTTCATCCCCTTGAAGAATAAAATAGAAAAAAAAAGAAAAGAGAAAGAGAAGAGAGAAACGCACGACACCTTATTGGTCCTCTTCTTACCACACCTTGGACTCCGTTACCACGCTGCTCGGCATGCAACGTACATAAACACCAAAGAGAAAATAAAATATTAAAAACAAGTCACGTACCAAAAAAAAACGCAAAAACGAGGCTCTTGAATTACTGTTTCTCTTCCGTCCTTTCCTTATAATTTGCTGTCATTGTCGCTCGAGACTCTCAAGACACCCCTCTTTTGAAGGTGCCCAACGTAGCACACAGCGTAGCGGGCAGAGAGAGAGAGCTGCATCGCTTCCATTTACCCGAAGCAGTCTTTTTTTTTTAGCGACAACACCATCATCTTTTTTATTTTTACACTGTTGATGTACAGTAACATGTTACCAATGCAAAAGAAACAAACCATCGAATCTACATGAAAGCAACAAAAGGGTGTGAAAGCGACAAAGAAGCACATTGCTGCAGAAGATTCTGAAGGTTGCGTTGAGGTGACGCAGTCCACATCTACCAAAAAATTCAATGCTGTTGCTTTGTCGTAACAGAATAACAATAATAAGCACATGAACACTAGCAGTGGCAAGAGAGAGAGAGAGAGAAAAGGGAGAAAAAAATAGATATATTCACACTTTATTCGTTCAACAAAGAAAAACCAAATATGAAAAAAAAAAGGAGGAAAAAATGAAACGAAGAACTTCCTGCTGGTAAAGGGAGAGAACGTGAGGTGCAACTTTCCCCGCTTGCTGTTATGATTCGCCATCTACGATTCGCCTCAATAGCCGTCAAACAGTCGGTGATTTCGCTCCCTCGATGCCCAAACGCTCACAGGCACTCTCCAGCCCTCTGCGCATTTTTGGCTTCTCTACATGCATTATGTGTATATTTTAGTGAGAGTAGTTGCGCACCGCCTGCAGTGAGAAAGGGGGGGGGGGAAGAAAGAACAGTCGCTGGGTCATCTCAGACGTCCGACGGCGTTCTTTCCCTTTACCTCGTCCGCGTGCACACGTGTTGCAAGCGGCGCTACGGAAACAAAGGAGCAAGAGAAGACATAAAGACTTTACATAATATCATCGCTAGTAAAATTAAAATCAAAACAAATCTCGCCTCTTTTACGTACATAAATAATTAATGCCCGCTTCACACAAAGCTGTTTCTGCTTCCTTGATCCACTTTGTCAACCATATTGGATCTGCTGCTTCCTTTCTTTGCAGGTGTCCTAAAAAGAAAAGGAAGCAAGACTGCATGAGTCGTGAGGGAGTAAAGCAGTGGGCACAAACTACAGCGGACGAGCGTTCCTCGCATCCACTTTCACACACACAGACACACGCACGTCAAAGGCGGCAAAGGAAACAGGAATGAACGAGACGGTCACGGGTACCCCTTGATACTGCCATTGTCGCTAATATTATCAGTTTATCCCCGCCACGTGGCACGCATCGCACACTCCTCCCTCTGTCATTCGCCTCTTCCATCCACACACGCAAGATGCAGGGTGCTTGACACCCTAGTCTCGTTCTCCCTCCCTTTCGTCATGTATATGCTTGTACGCCTGCGTGTGCATTTTGCCTTTGAGAACGGCAAACTCTGTTAGTCGTCTTCATCGCCAATGCCGAGGAATTTCTGAATGGCACGCATCCACTCGTCGCGGTCGTCGTCGTCCTTGGCGTCGAACAAGATACGTCGACCGTTCTTGAAAGCGACCGCGAAGGCGTGCGCAGCGTCAGAGCCGGTGTACTTGCTGATAACCGGAAACACGTCCTCCAGCTCGACGAACGGGGTGGAGATGCACTGCTGCTCCAGCGTATCCCGCGAAACGGCCTGCACCAACTCTAGGGAGGCGCCGCACGAAGCGAAGTCGCCGGTCAGCTTGCAATCCTTCTCCACCTCCCCGTAGATGCAGACGTAGCGTCGCTTCCACGACAGGTCGCTGCTCTGCTTCGATAGCTTGCCGCCATAGAGGATGAAGCCGATTCGGCCGGGGACGTCACTCAGCGATACCTTCACGGCCGTGCGCAGCACCTCTTCGGCAGACAGCTGTGGACGGCAGCGGTCCACCTGCAGTTCTTCCTTCGTTTGCTTCAGCTGTCGCGTGATGATGGTCTCCTGGTCCGGCGAGAAGCCTCCAGCCTCGCCGCTCTGCACGATTTCCTGCACCACTGATATGTACAGCTTACATGTGGGGGTGTTCAGCAGCGTCTTGCTCGACGGACGCCTTCGCGGCTCGCTCTGCAGAAGGGCAGACACGATCGTCTGCATCTCCTTGCTGACGCTGTCCGGCAGAGGGTCAAAACGGCCCGCCAGCGTCTTGTGCATCACGTCCTCGATGTCCTCACCGTCGAAGGGCCGCTTCAGCGTCAGCAGCTCGTACAGCAGCACACCGAGGGAGAACATGTCCGCCTTCTTGCTGTAGGGGCGGCGGCGCCAGATCTCCGGGGCTACGTAGTACGGGGTGCCGCAGAAGGTGCGGCCGACGTCCTCGCTTACAGTCGCAGCGTAGTGCTTGCTGAAACCGAAGTCGCCCAACTTTGCCAGGCCGTTGCTGCACAGTAGAATGTTGGCGCTCTTGATATCGCGGTGAATCATGCGCTTGGAGTGGACGTGGTGCACGGCCAGGAGGACTTGAATAAAAAGAAGACCAGCTTCATGCTCCGCAAAGGGGCGATTCGTCTTGCTGCGGTTGCGGATCTCCTGCCGCAGGTCACCCGCGTTGGCGTAGTCGAGCACCATCGCCATCATAATCACATTATCGGGGTTCTTCTTGTCACGGTAGACGAAGTCCTCGTGGCACTTCACGATGGAGAAGTAGTCGCAGCTGAGCAGGCAGCACACCTCGCCCGAGGAGCGCATAATTTCCTGCGGCGTGTACCCCTCCACATCCATCACCTTGATGGCAAATGGCTGATTATCTCGCACACGGCGGGCGTAGAGGACCGTGCCGGACGTGCCAGAACCGAGAACGGTGTCGAGGTAATAGCGGACGGGGAGGGAGTGGCGACCATCGCTGGCCGTCTTGTCATCGTCCGTGTCCACGCCGAAGGTGGCAGGGAAGGCGTTGCACACCTTCTTGATTAACGCATCACTAGTGGCAGACATATTTATTTGGTAAAGCAGCAGGCGCAATAGCAAAATATATATGTAGTGCAATTTCGGCGCTACGTATTTGTTTTTCCCCCAGCTAGGCGACAGAACGCAAGAGAAGAAAAAACCTTTTCGTGCACTGACTTGCGAGTAAGCCACAAGCTATTAACAAACTGGCGCAAAAAAAAACAACCGAAATGTTGGAGTAACTGTTTGGTAAATTGCACGGTGTGTGTGACGAAACAAACGGGGAATATATATGCCGTCGAGACCACTTCAATCCACAAGAAATGGCAGTCCTAGGAGGCAAAGAGATAAAACAAAGACGCACTCGAAGATAACGGTCACAAATGGAAACAAATGAAAATGGATCAAAATGGAAACGAAGAGTAAAAATAATAATAATAATAATGAGACGATCTGTGCACCTAGTGGTGGTAGCAACATAGAAGGAATTTCTGCACACGAGAATTGAGGTTCAAAAAGAAAAAATGAGGAAAAACAAGAGAGCCGAAATTCTTTCTCGGTTTCGAAAGACGAAAAAAAGAAAACGCAAAACGCGACACCAATTTTTTTTTCCCGAAGTAATGAAAAGCCGGACAACGAGCACGTCCTCTTCTGCTTTCCCTCCTCACAAATCTCAAGCTCTGTGGTTTGTTTGTGAAGCTGCGGAAAAGAACAGAGTAGCGAGAGGAAGAAGGAGGAGGGGGAGGGGAGAAAACGATGATGTCGAAGAAAACTAGCAAATTCAAGGCAAAGTGAATCAACGAGGGAGGAAAGGTGAGAAAAAAAAAAGGAGAGGAGCACTCAGGGCACTTGTCAAAGCTTGTTGCTGTATCTCGCCTTCTGTGGTTTCAAGGTGGCACCTACAGAGATGAAGGAGAAAGAGCTCTGGCGGGGTCGCACGGGTACGTGACTCAGAAGACACTTTAAGATACGGAGTCACACACACACCAAAAAGAAAGGAATAAAAACTAAAATCTATATAAACCGTGCACTTCTGCGGGATTTCGGTACTCAAAGAGTCAAGGAAGTCTCCCAAAAAGACGGTAATTACAAACTAATAGTGGAATGCTACTTTAGATATGAAGATCTAACAGGCGAGGATCGACTGTTTGTTTTCAATAATGTGTGTTTTCGTGTGTGGAGGGCAATCCCAGAGCATCGAGCAAGCCATCGCATAAAAGCCAATGTCCAGAAGAAAAACAAAGAAGGAGGGGAGATCGGATACGATGTAGAAACACTATCAGAATACGTTTTTTTTTTTTTCAAACATGGTCTGCTTTCCACCAGATTTCTGAAACGGTGTCAGGAAAACACTTGAGAACGTGAGCTCAGATCCTCCTCTCTCGGAAAGCCTTCGGCGACGTTCCCGCTGGCGTTTCACTATCTTTTTTCTTTTCTGCTGCAAGGGCAGTTGGACCAATGCGGCAAAGAAATTCACGCACCCAAAGCAAATAGATATATGTACCTTATTATTATTATTGTCATTGTTGCATTGCATTTCTTTTGTGGTGATGGTCACCCTGCAATAGCCCTCCCCGACAGCTGAGAGGACAGAAAAAAAAAAGAAAAGGAAAAGAGCAAAGATACCAATTGCGCATCAAACCAAACGTTTACATCGGCTGGGAAATGGAAGTAATGGAAACAGAAGAGCGTAACCACGAACCTGTGAAAACAAAAAAACGCACAGAAAACGCATCCTCTTAGAGACGGGAAAATGAAACAGAAGAAGACTACACGTACATCAGCAGCCATAGTAGGTGGTATCCCGAAACACGAAGAGAGCGAGGATGGAAGCGGAGACGTACGCAAAGTATGGAAATGTCCGTATGCGCAAAGATGACGGCACACATCATATGGCAGCGACGCCACCTTCTGCCATCGTTTAGTGAGAAAACAAAAACGCTGGGAAGCCAAACCAAAAAGAAGAGGAAGGAGTAAAGGGGGTCAGGAAAAAAAAAGGAAAAGTATATATAAGGTGAACAACTCCCGTAGGATTTACGGTCGAGAACAAAACATGGTACTTTCAAGTTCACAAGAAGCAGTAGCAAATATATCTATGTAAATGTATAGAAATTCGAGAGAAGAAAGAGGGCACTTTACATCGTCGCGAATAACGAAAACAGTCACGCACGGAGACAGTAAATGGATAACAGGAGATAGCGCACTGCGACACCCCTTCGACGCCACAGTGGAAGCTTAAAAATGATAACAATAATAATAGTAACAATTAGAAGCAGCAATAGGTAGTACCACCGATACAACAGATACAAATAAAAAAAAAAATAATAATAGTTAGAGTAGGGAACTGCATATACGTACTGTAAAACTCGACTCAGAGGGGTACCGATTGAACGGCGCATCCACCACACAACTTTTTCTATTCCTGGTTCTGAAAGGTGGGAACTGTAGCCGTACCCCGCGAGTGAAAAGTGGGAAATGAGAAGAAAAACAAAACGAAGAAAGACCCACTGCTTGTGAAAACGCCTCTGCACGAAAAATACATTACATGAAAAATAAACGCGAACGTTCCAGCGGAAACATTCCAAGTCACTCCAAGCGCAGCAGAAGAAATAAAACGCAGTGGGATAAATAAAAAGGGGGAAAAAGAAACCATCATACTAGCGCGTACAATTACAAAGAAACGTTATAGGGCGACCAATCCTCACCCTCTTTCTTTTTATGGTCTTTTGCGAGGCACCAAAAACCAACACACAACAGGATTCACCTGCAGTGCACTTCTCACAGCGGTACGTGACACGTACCCATGTAAGAGGAACACCGTCCTTTGCGTGTGTGTGTTTCCTCTTCGCGTTACACTTCTTCCTTACACGGGAAGACGTTGCCGCAAGATGCACTCTAGAAAGACTTCCACCCATTTATCCCGCTCGTCCGCAGTGCCAGAGGTAAACCGCACAACAGATCCGTTGCCGGACTGCAGCACAAACCCGCTGTAGTTGTCCAGCTCGAGGGGGTAACAGTCAATGTAGCCGCTCAACTGCTGCGCCTTGCGCGGCCCGCCCTGCTCACTTGACTTCTGGGACACACTGAGGTAGATTTCGTACGAGGACGAGGTCGCCGCAGAGCACTGCACCGCCGTTGTCGTCGACGGCGAGCGAGCAGTGACGTCGCGACGCACCAGTTGCAGGTAGCGGCGCTTCCATTTCCCCTTGCCGCTCTCCTTCTGCAAGGTGCCGGACATCACATTCGTCACGGTCACGTCCGTCGCAGCAGCCGTGGTGGCGTTCGGAAATGAAGTAACGGATGGGGCACGAGGCAGGCACACAGGGGTAGCGAGCGGTGGGAGAGATACGCAGGCACATTGAGTAATGGGCTGCGGCTTCGCCTCCACCGCCGGCACTCGATCGGGCTGCACCAAGTAGCGCACCACGTCCGCCACGACGCCACGCACATCGGCCAAAATCGCCACCCGCTCCTCTCCATTGAGGTTGAGTGTGCTGCTGCTACCAAGGTGGGCGCGGATGGCAGGGGGCACCGGGGAGTGTAGACCGGGCGGCGTCCCGTTGCTAGCATCCGCCGTAACCGACGCGTTGAGCAGCCCGCTCGAGCTGTTGTTGGGCTCGCATACGGAGCAAGAGGGGGAGGACGCGTCATGAAACACCACCCCCAACAGTGTCCCAATCGCCTCTCGCATCAGCGGCATGGCAAGGATCTGCACAGCAGAAGGTCGTCGGTTGGGTTCTTTGTCTAGTAGTCGGAGCGCCAGCGTCTTGAGCGCCGTACTGTACACGTCGTTCTCAAAACGAGGTGGGTTCAAGTGGCTATTCATGATGGAATCTCGTATCGGCTCGATCGAGGTGCCGCTGAAGGGCCGGCGCATCTCCATCATCTCAAACAGGACGACGCCGAGCGAGAACATGTCCGCCTTCTCGCTGTAGGGCTCAACAGACCACACCTCAGGTGCGATGTAGTGGGGCGTGCCACAGAAGCTGCCAATGCGTGCCGTCTGCACCCCATCCGCCCCCTCAAAGGGCTTCGAAAAGCCAAAGTCACCAAGCTTGACGACACCGTTGCTACAGAGGAAAACGTTGGCCGACTTGATGTCGCGGTGCAGGATCTTCAGTTTCGCGTGCAGGTAGTGGACGGCCATGACGAGCTGCACAAAGATGAGAAGGATATTACGCTGCGAGAAGAAGCGGCGCGGGCTCTGGCGCGCGCGTGTCTCCAGCTCCGCTCGCAGGTCGCCGGAGTTGAGGTACTCGAGCTCCATCGTCACCGCGGTGATGCCGCGGTGGGCTAAGATGCCATCGTGCGCGTCGATGGTCTTCTCTGTGTCCGTCACCTCGTTGCGCACGGTCACGTAGCTGCGGTAAAGCTTCATGATAGAGAAAAAGCTGCAAGAGCGGAGCACACGGGCCTCGCGCAGACAGCAGCTGATCATCCGAAGTGAAGCGTCCTCCAGCGAGACAAATTTCACCGCAAAAGGAACGGCAACGGCGCGGTCGCCATCGTGTTGGAATGACGTACCGCTGCTAACGCTGTTGGAAGCACTATTGCTGATATTGTTGCTGTAGCTGCGGTCACAGCTGATGTTCGGCGGTTGAAGCGGCGTGCTGGTCAGCGACGGTAGCCCATCTGTCACGGTGAAGGAGGAGTCCATAAGGTGCTGCAACGAGCTCGGCGGCGCCGGGACATAGCGTTTGGCGTGCAACACGATGCTGCACACACCGACGCCGAGAAGACGCTGAATTGTGCCGCGCGGCGACGCAGCCGGTGCGTCAAGAGTGGCCGCCGCCGTGGGTTGCTGAGCGGCGCCATCCGCGTCCATCTGACGCCCATCCACTCTTCCCTCCAGATTGCACGACCGAAAAAATGCGCTGGAGGCGTTGTAAAACGGGTGGAGTGCGAAGAAGCGCTGGAGAAGCTCAGCGAGGTGCGCCTCCTTCGAAGCGCGGCTGAGCGAGCCACACTTCCAGTGACGATCAAGCCCAGCGGGCGTGTCTACATCGGATCGATCCATGCCGGTTTATTTTTTTTTTACGAAAAAACAGAAGAGCAGGAAAACAGGTTAACTAAAGCGATGACAGTTTTCTTTTTAAAACGAAAGCAAACCCAAGCTGAATAACACTACTGAAGACAGTCGCGACGAAGGAAAACACCCGCATGAAATGCGGAACGGATAAATAAATTATAAGAGCGGATAACACCAGCTGTGAGGCTTGCGGGTACGTGACAAGGTAGATATTATCTACTGAGTTAGAATCCGGCGCTGAAAAGTAGTCCTTGACTTCCCACTTACTATTAATACACGGGTGAGTCAAACAATGATGATACAAGAAAAAATATAAGAAATAAGGAAGTAGTAATCATCAACGGCAACTGGAAACGCGAAAACCAAAAAAAGGCCACTGGGGAAAAAAGAAGAAGAACAAACAGATAGTCGCAAAAAAAAAAAAGGGAGCACAGCATCAGGTAAACCAAAGAAAAACAAATAATAAGGAAGAAGTCAACAGGTGGCCGATACAGATCAAAATGGATCTTTCCCTGCCGGAGAGAGAGAGATAGAAAAACGGGGGGTGGAAGGAAGAAAGAAGCTTCGATTATTATTGTGCCGCCTCTAACTTACCATAAATATATTTGGAGTGAAGACAAAGGAAAAACGGTTATGTAGAAAATCCACCAATACAGGCAGAGAAACCCAATCAGTGAAGAACGCAGCAATGACAGGAAAACGATCTCATATAATTATAACAGTAATAATAAACAAAAGAGGAATAAAACGGAGAGAAGTATGCCCTTGCGATCTTCCAAAACCTGCGACTGTGAAGAGAAAAGAGTTGCCTTTGTTCCTTGTCAAGCGCAACTCACTCAGTTCACATTCGTTAGTTTAATCGGTGAATTGTGTTTCAGTTTTTCCTTCGTTAAAGCTCTCAGCGGGCGCTGAGAACGAACGCAGAGGTCGCAAGCTCCTGGGGTAATGATAAGGAAACTCAAAAGTCAAGAAAAAAAAGTTGAGAACAGCAAACGCAAGAAAGGCGACGGAGCACAGTAAGAGAAAAAAAAACCTCTTTTGTCGTATTTATCGGCAAAAACAACAACAAAAAAGCGACGACCACTTCCAAGCTTAGATCGAACGGAGGGAAAGAGAGGGGGGAAAAAAACGAAGAGAAGCAGAATCGGTAGTGAGGCGAAGCGTTGTTTGACATACACGAAATGCCGTCACACACCCACATATATATATATATATATAACGGTAAAAGTGAGAACGACGAGGAGATATGTATATAATATTAACACTAATAATAATTGAAGACAGAGACGCTTGCTTTTTCCCACGCGGGGGAGAATGTGCAACTCAAATTGAGCGCGTCACTTAGTATCGTTGATGTTACTTTTTGATTTCTTTCCTGGACAAAAAGTACCGCTATATATGTATTGTACAGCACCGAGCGTCCACTGCCACAGCGCGTGGAGCAATGATGAAAGAACTTGTATTACTTTTTGATGGGTGAATCGATTAAGCGCCCAAATTATTGTCAAAGCAACAATCAGACGACGTCGGGGGCAATAAGGACAACAACCACACGGGCTGTGAAGTACTGGCAATAGGTGGAGAGGAAACCGCGTGACGCAGAGTCCGCACGCGCTTTCAGACACGGCGTCAAGACAAACGGCAGAAATGCTGACAAGGTTACGTACAGCTTGGATGTTGCAGGATAGCAGCAACTACAACAACCGCAAAACCGGGAGCCAATAGGAACCATGCAGAGCAAAACCAAGTAAAAGCAAGGCAATTAGGAGGGAAAAAGAAAGTAGTCGAACACAATTGAGAGGCGAGGTTCAGTACAGACGTTGAAGGACAACAAACTGGTAAATTGTGCTGCACAGTGAGTACGCGTCAAGGCAACGAGACATATAACTTACGCCTTTTTTCTCATTCCATGGTCGTTTGGACAGAGAACAAGGAAGAGAAGTGAAGCATGTCACAATAATCATGTTCCTGTTAGCACCCATAGAGCAGTTCATGCACTGCAAAAAGACCAAACAAAGAACATTTCCTTTGTTAAAACCTTGAGGACATCTGAACGATGCTTCACTTTTTTTTTCCCTTCGTCTTGTCAAAGGTAGAGAGACATCCAATATCATCGCGCATTCGCACGCACGCACGTAAAAGAATACGCGTATGAAACAGACGCCTCTGCATTTCGTAGTCTTCTCTCCCGCACCTCATTCAAAACCCAGCAACGCCTCGCCTCGCACCCTCTCCACTGCGTCTCGCAATAGTGTTGCTCCGTTCTTCTTCAAAACTTGCGCACAAAGTTTCGCTTTCACCTCGCCAAAAGCGGCGATGCTCGGTCGGCTCAGCGGCGGCAGCGACGACAACGCCCTCCGCTCCACCCGCCGACGGTCACACCAGGCCTCGCCAAAGAGCGCCAGAGCACCAACGAACGCCTCACAGCACACAAACATACCAGGCGAGGCGGCGAGGTGCGCCTCGGGCTTGTTGCAACCGGCCATCGCCACCACCGGCACCACCGGCGCGAGAAGCGCGCCCTCCGCCTTCGCTATTTCGGCATCCAGCAGGTGTTGATCCGCTGCATCAAGCACGAGCGCCGTAAAGTTGAAGCAGACGAGAACAAAGGGGAGCTCGTTGGATACCTTGGCGGGTGCACGCGGCGGCGTAAAGGCCGCTTCTCCGCCGGCTGGCGGCTTCACTCCAGACGGGTTCTGGCACAGGTCCCACAGGCGCTTTGCGAAGACGGGGTAGTAGTCCACTAGGTAGAGCAGCTGCAGCACGCCAAGGACGCCGGTGGCGCGCACATCGGTGGCTGGGTTAGAGCCCTGAAAGCCGATCAGCTCCCACCGGACAGAGCGCATCGACGACGGCGGTGTGAGACGAGCCGGGTCGGCGGCTTTTTGGCGCAAGTGTGGCCACGGCACCTGGTCTGTGAGGATGTTGAACACGGTAGACAGCACACGGCGATGCACGCTGTTCTGCAAGGAGAGCGGAAGTGACTTGAGAAAGTGAACCACCTGCAAAGCACTCTCCGCAGCGCCTGCATCACTCGTCACCGCAGCAGCAGCCACGGCAGAAGAAGCAGCATTTTCGCCAGCCTGCGCGGAATCGGCACCCACTCTGTCGAGGTCCGCACCTGCACGTGCGTAGGCTGGGGGCTGCCGCGTCCTCACATCCGACTCCTGTGGGCTACAGCACCGCATCAACGAAGCAAGGAGACCTGTTTTACTTCTCCTTTTCACGCTTGCATTTTGCGGTGCCGGGTGTGCGACAAACGGTGTGGGTGCTGAGGGTTTGCCACCGTGTGCACGGTCTTTGGCGGCTGCGACACCACGCTTCATCTCTCTTGTCAACTCCGCGTAGGCTTCATAGAAGGTGATGGGCTGCATGGTGAGCGGCACGCGTCCGGTGGGGTCGGTGACGGTGCTGCTCGGGTCGACGTCGACGTCCTCGTCGTCGCCGATGCGTGGAAAGGTGCCGGCGATGCCGGAGAAGGACAGCAGATGGGACGGGCCGACCGCCGCACGCGAGTTCGCAGAGACTGGTCCAAAATGGTCCGCGGAACCGGCACCGTCGACGTACTCAGCCGCACTTGCACGCGAGAACACGTCGTCCTCCGCGTCTTTCGCGCTATCGGCACCCGCCACAGTCGATGCGTCGCGAGGTGGCGGCGGCATCTGCACAGCGAGACCGCCGCGACCTTGTGGTGGTAGCCGCCCCGCACTGCTTTGCCGCTCCGCCGCCTTACGTGCGTGCGAGCGGTTGCGTAGGGAGGCCAAATTGGCGGTGGAGGTGTCTAACGTCGAGGGCTCGGACAGAATGCTCGTGGGAGGCTGCAGCAGGGTGTCCGACACGTCCAACCGCCCGATGCCCGGCGACTCGCCCGTGAGGAGCGTATCGCCCTCTATGGAGTTGTTTGTCATGTTCACACTGAGCTTCCCCACCGCCTCTTCGCTCAACAAAGACAGGTGCTTTTTAATTTGGTGGCTCCTCCCATTGGACTCACTCGGCGCCTCCGAGGAAGAAGACGAGCTGACATCGACGTTGGTTGGCCCGTGGTTCGCGTCCACCCTGAGCATGCCTTGAGCCGCGTGTGCGGCGTTCAGCTGATCCATCGGCAGACTTAGCGGGAGTGCCATAAAACTCGTGGGGCTGTGCGGCTTGCTCGAGGCCGGAGAGAGGGGCAGCCCGCCAGGGCTGTTGAGGACCCGAGCAGCACTGCTGTTGTTGCTCTTTGCATTGCTTTTTTGAGTCCCCTGCACAGCGGTGCCGCCTGTGACGCGGAACGACGGCCCGCCGGTGGCGTTGGCGCCATCAGCCACGTCGGTGGCACTCAGAAACGTCTCCACACCCGTGGTGAGCGTCGTCGGCGAAACCGCGGGGTCTGTGCCGGAGGAGTGCAGGTGGATGTCTTTCGTTGCCCGGTCCTCCTCCCCGGTCAAATCGCTGCGACTCCGCGGCACCGGCACACCCTGTGGCACAGCTGCTAGCCCGGCAGCGTTTGCATTGGGGCGCACCGTACGACTCGGGGGAGCGAGGGGTGGGGAATAATGATCCATGGAGACGAATTCATCAGCCCCGTTGTCAGTGATGTTGCTGTCCAGCCCTGCGCCGTCGTGCCCCGTCTTGATCGACTTGACGGAGGAAGCGGCTTTCGATGATCCTGTACCTCTCTGACGGCCGTGCCCGTCAACGTCGGTGCTCGTGTCTCCAGCCGCTGCATCTGCACCGTCATCATCGTGCGGGGATGCTCGTACGGCGAGCGGTGAAGGCCGCTGCTTTCCATTTGCGTCGCCTGCTTTGCCACGCTCCTCCCTCGCTCGAAAATGGAGATCGGGGTTGGTGGTACTAGTGCCACCGCTGCTGCCCTCGCCCATCACCGACATCACGGAAGCCTGCGGAGATGGGCGGACGTACGTCGGCGAGGCGCTCGAGCTGCCACCGACGACTTGAAAGGCATCTACATCGGGAAACTCATCGTCGTTGATGTCATTACTGCTGTGGTGGGTGCCAACCGCGGCGGCGTTGTCGGCTGCCTGCCTCGCCGCCACCTCTTCGCGATGCTGACGCCGGTACTCCTTCAATACATCGTTTTTGTGTAGGAAAGACATTTCTGCAGTTGTGATCCGCAACAGAGGCCGAAATACAAAACCAAGTCGGGGCAGAGGAAGAAAAAAAAAGGGAGTTCTCTTCAGAGCACCACAGCGGAGCTGAGCAATGTTCGAAATTATAGTGGCAACGGAAAAAGAAAGACCACAAGACGCGTCGGTTGCTGTTTGTTGTGAGATGGAACGAACTAGCAACGGGAAGAGGTGGCCAGCGCACGTTTGTTGGAAAACACACAAAAAAAACAAAACAAAAACTACATCCAATCGGCGGCAAACACGTCGAGTGACCTCCCACCGCCAAGAAAAGGGCGACGAGAGAAGCAGAAGTAACTTTCAAGAGCACACAGCATACACACACACAGTAAAAGAAGGAGCAGGTGCACAGTAGGATGAGAGTGTGGGCAAAATATTGATGTTAAAGAAAAGGAAAAGCAACAACGATTACATGTACGGGAGTGTGTAGATGCGATTGACGATGAGGAGATCTTGGGCTATAGAGAAACCCCGGTCAGGAGGCTTGTAGAAGCTTTTGCCGAGGTACACTCATATACTAGAGAGGACGGTAATCGGACTGAATTGCTACACGAGCAGCTGAAGACAGAGCAAGGAAACTACACACAAAAAGAAACTTGCTGATCCCGCTGCTGGCGTTGAAAGAAGGCACAAGTGTGAAGACGAACAGAACGGCAGAAAAAAAGGAGGAAGTGAAGGTGATCCCTCGGTTATTCGTGGAAGCGAACAACAGCTACTTTTCATTTCACTCTTTGGAGGAGGAGAAAAAAAAAGAACGCTTCTCTTGATGGCTTCATTTTGCGCAACGCATTGGGTGCTGTTACGAAGCACCTCGTACGCTCTGCTGTGATACATGTGGCACGCACAGCATGCGTAGCCTCATCATCACAAGCTGCCCTTGACGAGAGACACGATGAAGGGCACTCTCTCCGATCTGCAAATCTACTTCATTTACTTGATAGACTCTTGCCATGCGCATCTAGTGCCAGCAAAGCGACGGGTTCGTCGCCAATCGAGCAAGGAGAGGGGGAAAAAAGAGAGCGATTCTAGTGTTAAAGAAAGACAAGATGCGACCTGCTCGTCGAGGACAGATGACACAAAAACGCCTCAGGCGTGTATGAAGAATCTACAAAAAAAGATCTAACAAACGCGGTTCTCCTCTCTTCCAGAAAGCACCTCGTATCTAAGGTATGAAAGAGAGACATTTATCAAAACAACAACAAAAACTCACAGTTCTAGTTGCAACCCAGTCGTCTTGCGCTTCACCGTTCCGCGGTGCTCCTCGCCGGCGGTGTCGCCGCTCATCCCCCGCGCCGGCGACACTCCGCTGCTTTTGCTGGGCTTGCACACATCAAACTCGGAGAAGAAACTCAGCCGCGTGGACCCACTCGTCTGCCAAGCGGAAGAGCAACCCCACGAGCCGGAATAGGGTGCGGGTGGAAGCGAAGACGGGCGCACCGCTGCCTCCGCCAACGTCGTGTCTTGCATCACACTCGTCCGGTGCAGCTTCAGTGCGCGCCACGATGACGACGAGGAAGAGACGTTGTTGCCGCTGTTATTGTGGCTGTTATCGGCGCGCTGGGCGTCGTCGATGCGATCAAGACTCAAAATACGCTTCCGAGGCATCGAGACGCGGAAGGGCACGGTGTCACGTGCCGAGTTCGCCGCGTCATCGCTGCGCAGACGCAATGCGTTCGTTGAATACGTATACGTGGCAGACGAGGCGCAAAACGGGTCCGTCTCTTTCTTCTCGAGAGCATCCAGCGCAGCGCGCACCTGCGACGTCGAGGAGGTCGTTCGCGAGTTGGCGGCGGAGATCGAAAAAGACGCCTCATCACGCGAACCACCAATGACGAGCGAGCGCGGTACGGAGGAGCGCGTTGAAGTAACGGAGCGCCGCGCCGCAACACGAGAAATGCCAGTTGCGGTGTGGTCTGTGTCGCTGTTCAAGTGCATCTCCGTTACGCGGCTTGTCGAGTTGGGTGCAAGAGCAGCTACTTCCGACACGTGCGACGGACGCAGCTGTGGCACCTCGTCTTCTGTGGCGGCACCAGTAGCAACAGGAGCCGAAGCATCTGCTGTACGCAACGCCGCCACCTCTTCGTGCACCTTCGACACTACCTTGGCAAAGTTGTACGACGACGGCGACATGGAACGCTTGTATTGATGCTTCGGCGATGTCGTTAACGACTCTGGCTGGACATACGCAAACCGACCTTCCGCACGCTTCTCTTCTCTAGCATGCTGTCCTACGTCCACCACCTCCTCCACTTCTTCGTCTTCCTCACCAGCGGCGCTCCCTTGATCCAACTCGCTTTCGGTGGCGCTGGTGCGCACTGTCGGGGGCTGCAGCTCCGCGGAAGCCTCGAGGCGGCCAAGGTCTGCGAGTACCTGCCTGTACTGCGAAATGCCTTTTTCATTGAGCGTTTGCGCGTTGAGCATGTCGAAGCACGCCATGCGACATCCGTTCACGCCCTCTTCCCCAAGTTGGTACGTCCACCCATCCACCGCCGCGGTCGCCTCATCCGCCAGCCGCGACGCCGCACGAAGCGTCCACGCCCGTTGCTCCTGCACGCGTTGTGCCACCCGCATCAAAGTGGCGGGACTCACCGTCTCGTGAAAACTCGTAAGGCGACCGCTCGCATCGCCGAGCAGATCCGCAAGGGCACCGGCGGCGGACTGCAGCAGTGTCGATCGACGCTTCACCTCGGCCGAGGCGGCACGCAATGTGCCGAGGAGAGCATCCTCGCGCTCTTGCAGAACGCGGCGCAGGGTAGAGAAACACCGCTGGATGTCGGCTTCCACGTCGTTGGCTTTCGACTCGTAAAGAGCCCACAGCGCGGCTAGCTCGGAATGTGCCGCGGCCGCTTTCTCGCGTGTCCTGGAGAGCTCGCGTGCGTCTTTCTTCAGCGTCGCCGCGGTGCGCTGGGCCACGTCGGCGAGGGTGAACACATCGTGACCACGATGAGCCCCACCAAAGCAGCACGTCACGCACACGCACGTCGAACACGTCTCGCAGTAGAGGTCGAGCGACATGCCGGGGTGCTCAGGACACTTCAACTGGTCGCGGCGGCGCACTTGGTCGAGCTCGACCACCTCGTGCAGCTTAAACTTTCCCTTCGCGTGCGTTGCTTTGTGGCACGCATCGCAGAGGCCAAAATCGCACTGCACACACATGCGCGTTGCCCTCTGCTCCTCGCACACCCCGCAGTACAGCGTGGCCGCCCTCGACACGGACGGAAGGCCCTCCACGGCTGCACCGTTGCTGCTCTCCGCAAGAGGCGCGAGGCCTGTGTAACAGTTTCGTATAGTTTCCGGGTGAAGGGCGATGGTAGTCTCCAGCTCCCGTTGAGCCTCCTCATTTAACGTCAGGAAGCTCTCCGTTGCAGAGGCGGGAACATCGCAGTCGCACAACGGACACTGCAGGCACGGAGCATACAAAGATGTCCGGTTGGGGTACACGAAAGCATCTCCGTTTGAGGCTGGCGGCGTCGACTCCTCCAGCGCGTGCGTCGCGGCACACCACCGCGCTGCGCAGGTGCGGCAGGCAAGACAGTGCGTTGCGGCTCGTGTCTCGGCATGGCTGCCCACATGCGCGTGCAGCTCCACCGGATCCGTGAGTTTTGCGGAGCAGCAAAAAGGGCACAAAAACGTCCAATCTGGAGTGTCCGCTGGTGAGGCGGCGGTAGCGGCTGCTGCTGACGCGCAGACAGATGATGTTGGTTGGGAGTTTTCGTTGTTCTCATCACTGCTGAGACGCACCTCCTCCGGCTGCTCGTCTCTGCAGATCGGCTCGTGGTCGTCTACGAAGGAACAACAGACGGATGCCTCCAGCGCGGACGGCGCAGGAGCGTTGGCGCTGGATGGCGCGGGTGCAAGTGTGCGCTTTGCCATTTTTTGCTTTTCCTCGGCTATTCAATTGCGGGTCAAGAAGGTGAAGAGCCCCCGCCAAAAATAGGAGCTCGATGTATGCGTCAGGTCTAAAACTACCAAACGTCGTGTTACGGAAGAAAATAAATCTAACCTCTACGATTCCCTTAACCGATTGTTTGCTCCTCTATTTCTCACAGCACTTGTGCGTGTGTACATGTATATGTATGTATGTTTACTTTCCTTGTGATTTCGCGTTTTTATTTTTTGAAATCAAAAACTGTCGCCGTCTGCAGTGGCAACAATGTAAAGAGCAGACAAAGACAGCAGGTGCACACGTGAAAGGAAGGCGGCAACGCTTGTGCAATGCACACGTCACGCATTCATACATCAACAAAATGGTGCGACTCAATGAATAGGTAACTGAAGTCCAACAGCAGCACCCACCCGCACAACAAACGAACGAGATTATCATGTCCTCGTAAAACGGTAAGTCTCATGTGTGTTACCTCCCCTTCTCTTCATTTCTCAGGCACAGCTACGTTCACATGCTTTAATAAGCTTGCAGATTCAAAAAAAAAGAGAGACAGGCATTGCTGCTTGTTAGTATACATACGAGAACAGAAAGAGGGGCTCCCCAGAAAAAAAAAAAACAGGAAACTGGCCAGAGGAATACCGTAAAGCTGACATTCGTGTAGTAAGTAAAAAGCTCACAGAGAGCGAAGACCTTTTGCCTTGCTCTTTTCATCGCTTTCGCGCTTTATCGACGAAGACTATGACTCAGGCTTCGTGGCAAAGAGGAAGCTTGCTCGAGCCACCTCGTCCGCGTGAATCGTGCGCCCATTCAGCTCCAGCAGGTGCGGCAGGACCGCCAGCGTCCATAGGTAGACTTGCTCCTCCCTCGGCAGGGCCGAAATCTCGCGTGCGTTGTCCACCTTCACGCACAACGCGGCATCGCGCGCCGCACTGCCCACCGTGCGAATAAAGTTGTGCGTCTCCGTCGCAGCAAGAGCGACGTACGAGGCGGTGGTCGGCGGCGCAGCAGCAGCAGCAGTCGGCGCAGTAGCGGAGGCGTACGCGGTTGGATGGTGGTGCGGCGAAAGGCTGTCGTCCATCTTATTACCTCCTACGAATGGCGGTGCGTTGCCTTTGTCGTGCCACCGCCCACTTCCCGCAGCAGCATCCGCAGCGCTGGCGTTTGTGGGACCCACGGTGAAGCTGCGCTCATCTGCTTGGCTGCTCGCCGCCATCCCTAACACAAGCAAGTCCGCGCCCTGCCCCGCGTCGTCGTTCTCCTCGTCGCTCATCACGACCTCTGCGTGGTACTCGGTGCGGCCGGCGCTGGGCTGCTGCATCGCAGGGTCCGCCGTGAACTCCGCCCCGGCGATGTACGGAAGATGGTTGAGGTCTTCATTGCCATCAAAGAAAAGAGTGCGCAGCGCCGTCAAGGTGCACAGCGCCTCAAGCTCCGTCAACCCGTTCAGCGCGTTTCTGCGCACGTCTAGAACGGTCAGCCCTTCCAAGTGTTGGACCGCGCTGCCCAGATGCGCGATACGGTTGTCCGCCAACGTCAGCCGCTCCATCTGCGATGAGACGGAGCGGAGAAAGCTAACTTTGGTCAGCGCGTTGTGCGCCAGCTCGAGTGTGCGTAGGTGCGACGCAGCCTCAAACGCGTTAACTTCGATGGACGAGATGCAGTTGTGGTTCAGTCGCAGGCGCATGAGTCGGTGCGCCCCACTGAGGCACCGCGCCGAGACAGACGCGATCCGGTTTTCACTGCACGTCACATCGGTGAGGAAGGGAAGCGACTCGAGACCACTTAAGCTGGTGAGGCAATTGCCATCCAAGTGCAGCCGTTCCAAGCACCCCGCCGCGCCAGCGAGGCATTCGAAGACGTCAGAAGTCAGTTTGTTGTGTCGCGCGGAGAGGTACACGAGCTGGGGCATGTAACGCACCGCCGTCAGCTCCGTCAGGGCGTTGTGGTCGAGGATCAGCTGCTGGAGATTTCCATAGCGCTCAAGCCCCGGCAGGCGGGAGAGCCCCTTCGAGGACAGAGTGCATTTCGTGTACACCAGCTCACCAAGGTGGTTGTGGCCGAGATCCGAAAGGGCGGCGTGAACCTCCTGTATGGTCAGCTCGTGCGGGTCCTCTGCCACGGAAGAAGCAGCGAGCGGCGCGGGGACGAATGCGGCTTCCACCGCGATAGACATGATGATGGCGATTTGCTCGTTAAGAATGCAGTGAGGAAGGAAAAAAGAAGCGGGTTTGAATCGGGCCGCAGCGTTCGTCTGAAACACGGATGTGCCGTCTGCTGACAACTTTACTGGTCAAATTCCCTTACAGCATCCGCAACAACAAAAAGAGATGAGCCATCAAGGAGAGGAAGCGCAAGGTGGAAATAAGTTGCGATGGGGCCGGAGTACGAGAAGAGGAAATTCAATAGAGAAAAAAGAAAATCGGCGTTGCAGAAGCAAAACACAGCTACCACTCTGGGCATACGTTTGCTGTTGTTTCCCTTTTGGACAGAATACAACGCATCTGCAGCCGCACACCTCGCCTGATTCAAGGCGGCACGGAATCTTCAAGAGCCGAAAGAACCCGAACGTTTTTTTTTTTGGAGGAGCGCGCACACGGAAGGCACTGGTCAGATTTTCCAGCAAACGTCATCCATGAGGGCGATGGTGGCACAGTGCCTTTTCTTGGTTGCTGCTTTCTATCGCTTCCAAGGCCGCAGAAGCACTGTATAATCTACCTCTAAGACAACAACAAAGACCAAGGTCGAAAGAAGAGGGTCAAACAACGAGGGGGGAAAACGCCTCGTTAACACCACACGGATGGTTGTTTACACCGCAGTGTTGCGTCATTCTCATTGCCGCACACGTGTACAATGCGAGTAAGACATTGGAGAAAAAAAAAAGATATTTTTCCCCTGGCCTCCGTGACCAACCGGCAAGAAATATCTATTACATGTACAAAAGCAATGAGGATGAAAAGAGAAAGCCGGGACCTGGAGAAAAAAACAAAAACCACAACAAAGGACTTCAGCCACGTAGAAAGGGTCGAAACAACGAAACAGAAGACGACAGCAATGCCAATGGATCAGCTGCTGGCCTCGGCGAGCAAGGAGCGAAGTTCGTTGACGAGCATAGCGCGCCGCGTCGACTTGTCTTCGCCCACCATGCCACTCCCATTGCCGGAGCTACGCGAGGCCTCCGCACTGCCGACAGCGTCTTCTAACTCCCTCCTTGCCTCTTTCAGAAGTTTCACCTGCTCTTTCTTTTGATCGATCAGGGACGAAATGCGATGCAACGCAGCAGCGAGCACCTCGCTCGGGATCTCGCCTGGTGGCCTGCGCGTCACCGTGTCTTCGTACTGATGCTGGAGCTCCTCCAGCTCGTGTCGGAGCTGCTTTTCTACCTCATCCATCGCCTTCGTACTCAGCGCCGGAGGAGGCACTTTTTGTCCCGTCGCCGCTGTCGATGAAGGCGCAGCACGCCGCGCACTTGCGTTCTGCGGCCGCGATGACGTGCGTATGACAGCGGGTGAGGTGCGTTGGTGCGAGCTGTGCGCGCTGACGCCACGTCGAGCAGGAGAGATCTCGCCGCCCCGCCGCGAACTATCCCGCGCACTTCGATAATGGACGTGCCCGTCCGCAACTCCGTTTTCGTCGTCGTCGTGGGGCGACTGTGCGGAAGGGTACGCGCAGGGTGGCATCTCGTCCGGCACCACGCGGACGTCCCGCAACATCGAGCTGCACGTGGGGTCCTCGTAGTTGTGGCGCTGCATGTTGACCGCCACACGCGGTCGTGCGGAACGATGGGCATGCACAGCGCCGTTGGCCACTTGACCACGGCTGGCTCCTCCGCGCATCGATGCGGACGGACCCGCTGGGCCGCCACGACTCATCGTGCGCTGCGAAGGCTCAGACGACGAGGGGTGTCGAAGCCGTTGTTGCTGCTGCTGCTGCTGGTGCTCAAAATGAGTCAACAGGTCATCCATGGCGACGCGAAGCTGCTCATTGGTACGCAGCGCCGCCTCTCGCTCCTCTTTCAGTTTATCGACGGTTACGAGCAGCGCCGCCCGTCGCGTCTGCTCGTCTTTGATGTCTTCCCGCAGCCGCGCCACCTCCTTGTTCAGCTTCGATTCGCGTTGTTCGGCCAGCTCCTTTTCCGAGGCAATCATCTCCTCCAACTCTTTCCGAAAGCCGCCGAGGTCTTCCTTGTTGCCGCTGAGCGCGTCCTCAAGCTCGGCCCGTTCGTCCCGTGCTTTCCTCAGCAGCTCCAGCAAATCAGCCTCGCGCTTGCGGTGCGCCGCCCGCTCCTGCTCCATCTGCCGCTCCATGTCCAGTTTCTGCTGTTCATGGGCCTGCAAAGACACCTCGTACTGGTCCTGGTGGTAGTCGCGGTCCTGTTCTAGGGAGCGAATCTTGCTTTGAAGAGCCTGCAGAGCCAGCACAATGGATTTCGTGTCGCCGACCGTAATGCTGAGGCCGGAGCGCTGCAGACTGCTGGCGGTGCTCTCTGCGGATTGATTGACGCTCATTTGCAACTAAGGGAAGAAGACAAGGTAAAGCAAAAAAAAGGACGTGACTCTTGAAGAATCGCTTGTGTGCAGGTAAGTAAAAGTGGTTTCCAGTACCAGGAAAGGTGAAAAATCCGATGTCGAGCGAATCTAACGCGGAAAATAAAATAAAAAACGCCCGCAGCAAAACGATACGGCGGAAAAAAGCTCCACTTGTTGACCCTCAGGGAGAGAGAGAGAACGGTGCTGCGCGGTCGTCGTTGGGCGGGGGGGGGGGGACGGGGGCGCAATCCTCGCGGTGAAACTCCCTCGCTGTCCACTGTTCCTTTCGCTTTTGTTTCGTGGAGATTGAGCTGACTCTCCAACGGTGATTCAACAATTCACGTGTACGTGCGTGTGCGTGTGTGTGTGTGTGCGCGCAGCCGTAAAGGATCCGCTGCTACACAACCGCATCCACCGCTGACACAGAGGGAAAGGCGGAACGGGGAGAGGCGAGGTAGAAGAAAATAGGAGTGCGACAACAGAGCGGGAGAGGGAGCGCGCGCGCAAACGGGAGGGCGAAATACAGAAATGCGGGCGTTATTCGCTCCGGGCTTTGAAAAGACAGCAAGAAAGTGCAGCACAGCACAACGAGGGTACAAGGAAAAACGAGATGACAGAATGCTGTGCAGCCTCTTCAACTCCGTGTTTCTTCGAATAGAGAGTAAACACGCAGCAGCTGGGTGTCTGTGCTCGTTCAGTAATAACAGAGCTGCACCCGAACAACGTATGCGAGAAATATAAAGCAAAGCAGGCAGCTTTTCTTTTCATTTTTTCTTTCCAGTTGCGGATTGCGGTGAGAAACTGTCCAGTACAAGATCCAAAAAACGTCGGAAGAAGAAGAAAAAAACAAAGCTCGTTCATTTACAGAAGGTGACAGAGGTATCTAAGAGTACAGTACCTGAAAGGTAACGGTTATCGTAGCCCGTAAAGCGGAGCCAGCGATCAAGGGAAGTCCAAAGTAAACGGTTGTGCAAGACTTCACTGACATTAAACAAACAAAAAAACCGCGACACACAACAAAGTAGTAAATATCTAGCAAACAAACGAAGCCATTTTCAGCACGTGACATCTCGAAGAGAGAGAAAAAAAAACCAACGCCTACACGAGAGCGCAGAATTGTTCCATGCGACGTGCCACGGCTCGCTCTACTGCAAAGTCGAGAAACTGAGCGAAAACCGTCTTGCCCTTTGCGAGACCGCGTAACACCTCCGCCGCCTCCGCGTCCGTGCGGAAGGCGCGGACGGCGTAGAGGCGCAGCACCGCCAATGACGCGTCGAACGCGCTCGTCAGCTGCGTGTTCTCGTCATGGAAAGCAACGTGAGCAAAAGGGCCAGCAGCACAGCCTCCATTCACGCTACTATCAGTGCTTGTATCACCGACTGCTGGAGGCGGCCACAGCATGCACTCCGCATCGGCCGTCACGTAGTCCATGGCTAGTACAATGCCCACGAGCATGGAAAGAACCTCCTCCGCAACAGAACTGTCAAACAAGTTCGGCAGCACATCGTCCGCCGTGGAGAGCAGTCCCTGCAGGAGCGGCAGCAGCGCGAAGCGAAACACACTGAAGCGACGCTCGTCGACGCTGTCGCCATCCGCGCCAGATTCCGCGTTTTGCAGAATGACAGTCCACGACTCGTCCAACACGCTCGTGGCGGAGCTGCGGGCATCGCTGAAGTGGAAGACGTCCACCCGCGCCCGCAGCAGCTCCGCCATTTCCGCCATAAACGGCTCCACCGAGACAGGTAGACTCAGCGAGGTGCCGCCCAGACGTTCGCGCGACGGCGTCAGCGCCTCCTCGCCTGTACAGCGCCGTCCACTTGTCCACGACGACGTGTACGCGTACGCCTCACCACTGCTGCTGCTGTGGGGAGCGCGGTTGGGCGTCGACGCACCCGGCGCACCGGCACCGCCCTCCACCGCTGCATCCGCGCTGCGTTGCCCTGAACGAACGCGGCGGAGCGGCGTGCCAAACGGCGACGACGCCGACCGGGTCAAGGACAGCAGCAGCGTGTACGGCAAGCACGACGGCTCCTCCTCGGTGGAACGGTGCGGACGACCCAGCGCGGCCGCCTCGGCGGCCCATGACTGCCATCGCGCAAAGTACGCACGAGCGCTAGAAAGAAGGTGCAGACGCGCCATCATGGCAGCGGTAGGTAGCGGGCGACGGTGGCGTCGAAGACGCAGATGATCCCGCACGTCACCTGGAGCGGCCACGGCGGCGCGTGCAAAGCAGTGAAGCGAGGCATCGTGTTTGGCGCGGCGACGCTCCGCCACATGCTGCATCCACCGCACTAAATAAGTGCCGCGCAACTGCATCGCGCAGGCAACACTGAGCGCGTGGGCCAGTGGCTGCTCCCGCCGCAGCCGCGCCGTGCGCTGGCGTCGCATGAGGTGCGTGTGCCGAAACAGCGCCCGGTGATCCATCCAGGCGTGGAAGTACGTGCGGAGCTGCGACAAGGCGACGTACTCGCCGAGTTCCTTCATGACGTGTCCCACGTTGTGGCTGATGCCCTCGCAAAGGGCGTAGTACCGCCGACGCTGCGCCTGACAGGCCGCGAAGGAATCGACGCGGCACTGCTGCAGCTGTCGCATCCAACGCCACTGATGCGATTCGCGGGCCCGACTTTCACTCTTCATGTCCGACTGACCATCCAGGCACACCAGCGTAGCTGCGGATGTGGTGGTATTTGGGCAGGATGCATCTACGGATGCGGTGCTGGTCAAGTCAAGAGGCAAACCCTTCAGCGCAGATGAACCGCCCATCTGGTGACTCTCGTCCAGGAGAGAAAGTCGACGTTTAACGGTGGTGGAAGCCGCCACACCCGCTGTCGTCGCCTTTGTCTCGGTGGCAGTGCTGGAAGTAAAGAGGATCAACGCGCGTTGACGATGCGTGCCCATCGGCAGCACCTCCGTCAAGTGATTGGGTGGGAGCCCCTTGCATTCCTTATGGTACTCAAGGCCAAAGTCCATGCCGCCCACGTCAGCCGCCGCCCGATTACGCGACTCCTCGGCCCACCGTGCGTTGCTTTGCGCCGGCGTCTTTGTCCAATCCTGCGCTGGCGACTGCGGCAGCAACGAGTCGGCGGAGGGGTGGGGGATGCGAGCGAGGAGTTGTTTGTCGTGCGTGGACAGAATGAACACACAGCCGTCCCGCCGCGACGCCCACAGCCGTCCCTGCCACGCGTCCAAGAAGAGCTGCGTGATGGGCTGCGCGTGTGCGAAGAGCAGACGTCGGTGCAGGTGCAGCTGAAACGCGCCCATCTTGACCACCTCCGGCATCGTCACCTCCGTCATCCACTCCGCAGTCGCCGCTGGTGAGGCTGGTGCGGCCGCAATAGTGGCTGTAGGATTCCCCATGTCTTCGTTCCATTCAGTCGCGGAAGCTTTCCCGCGCAACTTGAACAGCTCGCGGCCGTCGTGATCGGGCAAGACCCACACCGGTGCGCACCGCACCGTCGTCACCGCGCTGCTGTCCACGCCAACGTAGAGCTCTAACTTTTGAAAGGTAAAGAAGAGCGCCTTCTCCTCGGTGAGCTCCTCAAACTCGTTCTCCAGCACACGGGCATCCATCTCTTCCTCGGTAGGGCGATGCTGCCACGACGCAGTGACGCGTGACGGGTGGTGGATGCGGCGCAGCGTGGTGCAGATCAGCGGTGGCAGGTCCACTACCATCTCCGTGATAGGGACGCCCTCGGCGATGGCGATTTGGCACTTGGAGGTTTGGGCGGGCATGCCGAAGTCGTGCACGGGGTTTCCGCTGTTGTTGCCCAGTGACCTGGAAGGGCCGCGCTGGACGCTGGTGCGTGGACGCATCATACTCGTCGATGGGAGAGCGTGTAGGTGGCTGTCTCCGTGTCGACCTGGGGATATACTGGGCCGTAGCTGGGAGTTGCGGGAGGGCGACGTTGTGCTCTGCTGGCGTGACTGCGACGCGGTAGACGCTTCTTCCTGGAGGGAGGAGCGGGGCTTCTTCGCCTTTTTAGTGAGCCTGGTAGTGGCAGTACCGCTGCCGGTGGTTTTCGACGAGTTCGGTGCGGTCGACGCATTTGTGTCTCTGCGGGAGCGAAGAAGGTGCGACTTCCGTGTAGGTGCCAGTGGTGGTGTTGCGTCGCCGGTGCTGTGCCGCTGGCTCTCACCTGGCTCCGCCGCACCGTGAGGCCAGCGACCGTTGTGCACGGCGTTGATTTCCGCCTCCTCACAGCTGGTGCGGCCCAACGAGGGACGTTGACTCTTGTGTCCTAGAGAAGCTCCATGGCCCAGCGCTGGTGCGGTGTTCGCCGGCAGTTCCGACAGGCGCGACCGGCTCTCGCGTGCCTCCGCAAGGCCCAGCCCCCCAAGAGGCCGTCGGCTCCGCAGGCTGCGCTCCGTCTTCTTGTGCGTCCCGCCGCTGTCCCGCGAGGAGGCACCGCCACTCACTGCTGCCTTCCGCTTCGTGCTGGGCCGTGCCGGCATCGACTCAGCGCTCAGCTCCAGCACATGGCTCACACTGGAGCGGCCTTCGCTCTGCGACGAGAGCGACCGCACGGAGGAGCGTGACGACGCGCCGAAGTCCGCCGGCCAGCCCAGCGCAGACCCCACCGTTGTGCTGTCGCCGTAGCGGTGCAGCTCCTCGTCGAGGTTCCACACGTGCACGGTGCCGAGGCAGTCAGCCGCCAGCAGCAAATTTACCCGCAGCGACTGCGGCGGCTCCGCGGCGACGGGCGGCATCATGTGCTCCAACTCCCGCTCCATTCCCTGCATCTCCTCCTCCTCCAACTCCAGCTCAGCACGCTGGCCTTCTCGCTTGTCGAAGCGCGTCTGCGTCTGGGAAAGCTCGCAGCGCGGCGTCTGCGCAGTTGACGGACACGGTGCTATTTGAGAAATGCGTGTGTCGGCGCGGACGTCGCGCTTGTCCCGTGCCGCGCCGTCAGTCGTGCCTGCCGTGATCAGCGACGAGACCCACCGCAGCGCCGTCAGGCCAGCAAAACCTCCGCTCAGCTTTGCGACGGGGCGCACCTGAATGAGCGTGCAGCTCGACCGCACCACCATGTTCTGCAGCCCCGGTACAGGAGAGGAGCAGTCAAAGGTGATGACGTCGTTGCACAGCATCGACGCGGGTGCGGCAGCGGTGGCAGCTGCACTCTGACAGGCTTGCGTCGTTCCCAGGGAACAGTGAGGCGACATAGAAAGATTGCCGGGGCCTCCTCCCTCCGTCTTCGCCATGTCGTGGCGGTATCGCTGTGCGTGTGCCACCGCCTCGTACACCTTGCGGACATCCCAGATAATGACCGTCGCGTCCGTGGACGCCGTGCAGACGAGAGAGAGATGCCGCCGTGAAGGGTCCGATGAAGCGGAAGCTGCGCCAGATTCGGATGCGGCCGCCGCCGTCATGAAGCGCACCGCCTCGCTGACACGATTTGGAATGTGCGGGGCAGCGGCGTCGACGCAGCGCCCGCCGTCTGCAAATCGCTCTGGCCCTCCCACCTCCCCTATCTCGTCGTGACCGGGAGAGCACACAATGGAGACAATCGCGCCACCTTGGTAGCGGGGCAGCTCGTACACCAGATCCGCCGATGCGCCCTTGGAGTACAGCGGTGACGGCCCTCCGGCACGGATGTGCTGATGACTCGCTGGTATCAGCCGCAGCGTGCCGTCCTGCAAGCCACACCACACGTAGTCTGTATACACCAGATGCGAGCTTTTGAGGCGCAGCACGTCCTGCGGCTCTCGAACCGGCAACACGTGCAGCTGCTGCGCCTCCATGAACGCGCGAAACGGTGCGTGCTGCAGGGCCGTGACAGCCACCTTCGCCTTGATGTCCACAACGCGCATGAGACGCTGCCCGGTGGTGCTGCTGTATACCGTGATTTCCTTGTCGTAAGTCGACCCACCCACGCACCACGTCCGCGCCGCAGAGAGAAAAGTGTCGTTGCGCTGCTCGCTGTGCGCCCCGCGCATCGTTGCACCGCCCTCATGCGGCGCCACCGAGACGGTGTCCTCTATCACCGAGAAGGATGAGGAGTTGGCTGTGTAGGAACTGCACTGTTGTTCGACAACGTCGTAGGCGGAGACACACTTCGACGCGGTAAGGCGCCGGCGCAGCGCCTCCTGCACCTTCTCCAAGTTTGGCAGCGGACGAACGACGCAGGCGTGGCGCATCGTCGCACGGGAGTTCAGCGGCGAGGCGTAATCATGGTAGATGGTGACGGCGTTGCTCGGCCGGAGGAAGCGGGTGCGCAGCTGGGCGTATTCCCGCTCCCAGGTATGCGGGTCTGCGAAGGCGGAGGGAGGCAGCTGCACCGCGGTTCCGTTGGGTGGTGGTGTAGGCGGAGAGGAGAGGCTCAAATTCGAGCCAGCGCCACGACTCGGGGAGGTGCCAGACTCCACCGCGCCTGTCGGGCCCAACTCAAGCACACCTTTGTAGCGCCGACTTGCCGGGGAGACGGTGCGCCGTGCCGCGACGCCCCACAACGGGAGCGGGACATCTTCAAAATGGCGCACGCCTTCTTCAGCGACGGCAGGACGTAGAGTTTGTCGGGTCGGACTGATGTTGACGGGGGCGTAGTCGCCGTTGCCGGGTTTGGAAGCGCCGAGGCGGTAGGTTGATAAGGCACTGCGCGAAGGCGAGCACGTCATTCTTAGTGTCCTGAAGAGAAGTCAGGAAAAAAAATGGGAATAATGTAAGCTCAAGACTCGAGTAATGAGAATCTAAAAACAATCTAAAGAGAAAGAAAAAAATAACTTCACTGAAGTCAGATTTTTCTTTTGATCTGCGGCGGCTGCGGATCAGCTCGCGTGCAAGAAAACAGAAAAGAATGACAGACGCAGCGGAGAAGGAGTGTGTGCGGTTTCTGTAAGTCGCGTTAAACAACACAGGTGAAATGGAATACGTGCGTAATCTAATGCATCGACAATTTGTTGAAGTAGCTTCAAACTTCCTACTCTTTTTGACTCCCAAGTACTCCGGCAAGCGACGTCGGCCTGCGAGAGCAAAAGGAATCCCAATAGAAGGCAAAACGAAGTATTGTTATCCGCCACACTGGAAAAGAGAGGGGAGAAAGGGTCAAAGATCGAGGCGAAAGATTATGAAAGCAGCTGGAGACGCGATCAAAACGGACCGAAACACGTGCTCTGTCGTCCACTTTCGTATTGCGTGCACGCACTGCTGTTTGAGTGAAGCTCTTCCTGCGCAGTTCACTTGCCAATTCGAAAACAAAAGAAAATGGATAGCTCAATGATCACCGTGGTTCTCGCCTCACCTGTGCTATCACATTCGATGATTATTCTCTTCCGGCTCTGCCACAATAGCCGGCATCAAAGGAGCAAAACACGGCACCACGTTTCTCTGCAAAACGCATGCAGCACACACACACACAAAAAAAAAAGAAATGCAACGTGAAGACGGAAGATTGTGAAGGAAGAACACGCTTCGCACGTCAACTATTCTGCGGTATCTGAAATTCTATGTTGCTAAGCAAAGAGAACTGCTTAACGAATATTCTATGACTTCTATCGCGAGACCTTTAAAAAAAGCAAACAAAGATGAAACCAAGTTGTTGGCGCACACGCGTACACTTCTGGAACGGTGCGTTACGGCCAAAAAAAGGACAAATACGGATGTCGATAAGAGTGAAATGCCACCTTGTACTTTAACAGGTCTCTCCCCCCTCCCCCCAAAAAAAGATCTTAACGTCGTGCTTCAGCAGCTACCCGCAGTCAAAAAAAAAACCGACACTCCTACTCGTACTCCTCGGTGGCGACAAAAACCTCGTCGTTGTCGAGTTCATCTGCCAACACCGACAGCGCCGTTTCCTGCGACGTGGGGACATTAACGATGGACCGGTGAGGATGCGGCGCCGACGCACCTTGCGGACGCAGCTGGGGTTCGTGTTGCGGCTGCTGGTCGCTCTGGCTCCTCTGCACCTCCACCACCTCTTCGCTGGCCTGACTCGAGCCGTTGGCCGGAACGTGCCAGCCGTCTGCCGTCACAACACGCGACGCGATGGAGATGCGCTGCCCACGAGCGCCACCCACAGGACCGACGCTTGCGGCGACGGCGTTGTCAGGCAACCCTTGTGCAATGGCGGCCAACATGCCCTCTTCCTCAGCTAACTCGGTCGGACCGCCCAGGGCACGCTGCCGCTTTGCACCGCCGTTGCTGTTCATGAGGGATGAGGCCGAGTTCGAGTCCTCAAGCTTGGCTGCCTTGCGTAACGCCGCCACAAAGCTGCGGACATAGGCGTTGCTCGCCTCGGCGAAGATGTCGCTCTTGCTCAGTTGGTCCCGCAGCACGTGCAGCGCGTCGACGGGTCGCAGCTTTGACGCGTACGGCACAATCGCCTGCAGCAGCATCGGATCCGTCGAGGTGGCGAACTCCGCGCCGAAATGCACCATGGCCGGACAGCACATGTAGAACCGGTCGCTCCCAATAAAGTGCAGCGACGCTAGCTTTATGCCGATCTGATAGAGGGCCTCCACCGACACTGGTGTGGCGCCGACCTCTACACAGCTGTTGTAGGCCGTCAGCACCACATCCCGCTCCAGTGAAAAGCCGTCATCGTTGGCGCGATCGCGCAGCGTGTGAAAGAGGCTCTTGAAGGTGTCCGCCACCGCCTTAGACGGCGACTGCGTCCATAACACGAGGAAAGGCGCAGCGAGCGCGTTGCCGTCGAGCCGCTTGAAGAGGAAGAGACGTGCCACACCGGAGACAAGACGCAGCTGCAGCGCCTCGAGCCGAGAGCAGGTGCGTCGCGCCGCCACCAGCTCTGCCAGTCCGGCCGCCGCTGGTACATCCGTCTGCGCTGAACTCCCTGCGTCACCTTGCTGCTGCTGCTGCTGCCGTCCGCGGTGCTCGTGGACGTGCAACTTCAGAGAGTCCTGGGCACTGCGCAGCTCGACGGAGATGTGTTCGTGCAACCCGCGTAGCAGCCGCACGAGCGTCTCCTGCTGCACCTGAGACATGTCGTAGTACGGCAGCGCCAGAAGGTCGCACAGGTACACAAAGACCTCCGCGACGGGCACGACCCAGTGGTGCTCGTTCACCGACGCACTGGACCCAGCGAAGGAGGGAATCGGAACGGCGGACTGCAATAGCTCCTCCATCTCCACCTCGAACTGCAGCACTGCGGTCACGAGGTCCTGCACGTACTGCTTCGGCTCGTCGAGCGGCGCAGCGGCGTCGGTCGTCTCGTTGCACGCCTTCACCCGCCACAGGAGGGAGTTCACCGCTGTCCCAACCACGAGCATCGCCAGCGTTGCGCTCATCGACGTGACCGTCGACGACGGCGGCACCTCCAGAGCGGCACGCAGAGCAGCGTACAAAGTTGTCCAGTGCTCCTGCGTCGGCACGAGAGCGGAGACCAGGTTCATGCGCCCCCACACGGCAAGCAGCTCCTCCGTTTCCTCCCGTGTGTGACTCCGAGTCTTTTTTGCCACTTGAGTGAAGAGACCAAAGACATTCTTGAGAAGCTCCTGCAGGTGCGCCTGAGCTTCTGTGCGGAGCGGGTAGTCGGTGAAGGCCAGCTGATACCACGCCTTGACGAGGCACTCGCGCGTTTCGGACGACACGCAGGACGACATCAGCGTGGCCTTGCGCAGTTCGATGAGCAGCGCGGAGAGTGCCGTGTGGTGACGCTGCGAGGTGAACGTCGACATGTCTAGTGCGGCGCACAGCAGCGCACAGGCCTGTAACACGTCCTCGCTTCCGCGGTGCACCTCCAAAGTGGAGCACAGCGCCACCGCGGCGTCCTCACTCAGCCGCCGCTGCAGGACCTCCGTCTCCTCCCTCACCTTCTGCGACACCTTCTTGCTCCCACCGCCGGTTCCGCCGCGGCGGTCGTCCTTCGGTGGCGGACCGAGTGTCAATCTCCCTTGAATCTTAAGCAGCAGCGCAGCCAGGAGCTGCACACCGACAACGGCATCGAGCGGCCTGTCCGACTGGGCAGCGGCGAGAAGCGGCTGGTATTCCACCAAGAGTACCGGCGGCCGTTCGGGGGTCCACAAGGCGTCGATGAGGTACTTCTCCGGCATCGCCTCGCGGTACTGCGAGCGCAGCGTGGCCGCGAACGAACACAATAATTCTGTTGCCACGCTGACCTGCTCCGCCTCGCTCTCCTCGCCTGCGGTGCGGCAGTGAATGAACACCTTCAGCAGAATACCCGCCGCCGCGCGCACCGTCGGCCGCTCATCAAACAACGTCAGCAGCACCTGGTCGATCTTCTCGTTCGTCAGCAGCTCGCTGCCCTCCGCCACGTCGGCGTCCCCGCGCACCATCATCGCCACCACCCGAATCGCCAGCTCGGTGCAGCGCACATCGACGTCGTTGCTGAGCTCCACAAGACGGGCGGTGAAGTACTGAAGGAAGAGATGCATGCGGCTGTAGGCGTCCGACACGTGGGCGAGGGCCTGCAGGATCGTGTCCAGCGCCTCGGCCCGCAGCTCCGCCCGCTTGTCGTGCAGCGGCATGCCGAGGTAGCGCAGGTACTTGTTCGTCATGAACTCATCGGGAAACGCAATGATCCAACGACGCAGGGCCTGGAAAGCGGCGAGGCGGATATCAGGCGCAACGTCGCGCAGGCGTTGGTGAACGGCTTGGGCGAAGAGGTGGTCGCGCCACTCCACGACGTCGTCGCGCTTGCGCTGAACCGTGGCGATGTCCTTCTTGGCACGCAGCAGTGCCAGCTGGCTTTGCAGGTCCGCCGCGACGCTCGAGAGGGCGTGCACAAAGGCGAGCAGCGCAACGGTGGCGGTGTGGCGAAACGCGCGCGACTTGCTCTCCGCCATCGCGATGATCCACTGCGAGAGCACCGGGAGGAAGGTGGTGTCCAGCAAGATGTCCGACGCGACGCTGTTGTGCACCAGGGCGGCACACCACTCCGGAAAGGCACGGCGGAAACGCCTGTACTTGGCGTCTTTATTCACCACCAGATAGGCCTCCGAGTTTTCCGGGACGCGGCTGTACAGCTCCTCGAGAAGGGGACGGATTTCAACACCATCTACGAGGGCGTTGGTGTCCAACTCTACTTCGGCCACGCCCGCCGCCTTCGACAGCACGTTGAGAACTGCGCAGAGCGCCCGCTCCTTGTCTCCGCCGCGGTAGACGGCCAGAATCGTGTCGGCCGCCCCCGCTGGCGCCACGCCGTCCACAAGGGCCTGCAGAGACGACTCTGCCAACGAAGTCTCAGCCGTCTCGCCCAGGACGGGCTGCTGCTGTTGCAGTGGAGCTGTCGAAGAGCCTTCTCCGGTGGAGGCGGCAGACGCGCTGCTTTGCGGGGCCTCTTTCTTACTTCGCTTCTGCGAGGGCGAGGGGGAGCTGTGGGGAGAGGTGCTGCCAGCGGCGTCGTCCAAAGGCAGCGAGGCAACATCGTACGACTCCTCCTCCCCTTTTATCGTCGCCGCAGAAGAAACGCCTCTGTGACTTCCGTTGTTCTTTCCATTCCTGGTCTTCTTTGCAGGCATGGTGGACGAGGGAGAAAGCAAAAAGAAGTGCAACTACTGTATTCGCGATGTGTGTCTATCGTCTGCTATCGAGCAGGTGAAGCTTCTATCGTTCTGCGGGGACGCTGATATAATACTGTTCACTGTGTGGACTCCTTGTTTGCAGTTGATGTGACAACAGAGAATCCTTTCTGCTCTTCTGTTGTTGTTTTTATCGTCCACGGTAACGTAGGTGAGTCGCTCTGCTCTTGTATGGGTGCGGTTGCTCATATATATAATTTTTTCGAGGGGATTGCAAACAATAATTAGAAAGAAAAAACAATCGTTGTAGAGCGGGGTAGATGAACGACAAAGATGGATGTTGAAGCACGATCGTCGAAGAAAAAAAAGAAAAGAAAAGGTGAATCGACCACCGTGAGAGATCAACCCTGCAACGTTGCCGACGCATGGACAGCCGGGACCCACTCGGCCTCTTCGGTTTCCGTTAAACGCCGTTTCGCATTTGAGCGCAATGGAGCACACACACCTTCGCCCGCCGCAAACCGAGATCCTTGTTCTTTCACGAACAACGGACCATTTGTTCGTTTCCATTTGGGCAATGCCGCCCTTTTTTATATCCATATATATATATATGATTCTTATTTACTGGTTTCTAATTCAAATGCTCTTTGGACTCTTTGCGTAACCTGCAAAGAAGCGGATTGTCACAGCAAACGCAGCTAGATAGTACAGTTATAATTACGAGCACCACATTCACCCCCGCCCCTCAAGGCGGGTGCAGGCACGACGCCACGAACCATGTTCCCGCACCCCATCACCATCAAACGCCAAAGCAAACCTGTCCGCCCCGTCACCCGCTCAGCAGCTGAAGCAGCTCCGTCGGGATTGGGGGGGCGCTTTCGCCCTCTTTCGTAACTCGTGGGACATCGGCAGCCGGCGGTCCCGGCTCCTTCAGCAGGCCAAAGCTGGCCTCCTCATTGCGGTCAACGTTCACCGCCTCGAGCGCCGCAAGCGGCACGACTTCCTCTCTCGCGTCCATTTGAGAAAGGGGCGACCAATGGAACCTGCGTTCTTTCACTCAAGAGTACAACTGGGATGGAAAACGAGAGAGAGGAAAGAATAGAAAGAAAAAAAAAGAAATGAACGAGTGTGAGAAGAGCACGGCAACGCACTTGCCAATAGATACATATGTATTTATAAAGCGAAAAGAGACGCACGCGATGCACATGATTTGTGGCTCGTCTCATAGTCTTCTGCCGCTGTTATTATTATGGTACGGGTTTCAGAGGGTGGCATTGATGCCATTAAAGTTGCCCCGGTTTGGATCACTAATGTCGGGTTGCGCAACGGTCTCGTACAGTGTGAAGCGGCGCAATATTATCAGTGGCCCATCAAACCGCCAAGCAGCAGCAGACTGCTGAAGCACGATTACGTCTGAAACTGCCTTTGCCAAGACTCGCCCACCCCACATACCCGCGTTGAAAGATATTTGGAGCGGAGAGGTAATTATCATTACTTTTATTTTCTCAATAGAAGCACCTCAGGATGCACGCGAACCACAACAACAATACCGATTGGTAGCAAAGAATACAAGAGCGAGAGACACACAGAGACGCCGCGACGCCGGCGAATCAGAAGGGGGAAAAAAGAAAAGCGCCAGAGAGATGGAAGGAAAAACGCTGTTGTGAAAAAGCTTTAAAAACTTCGGAGGTAATCGCATTCGACCCTCATCGAGCCCACTCTCCGCTGCCCACTTTTTTTTGTTTCCTCTCGCTCCCCTTCTCTCTCAGGTTCGGTGTAGAATGCGGAAAGACAAAAACGAAAGAGAAAGTGCACCTGATCCACTTGACGCGTCGAGCTGACATCACTCACGCTGACGTACACTCCCGTACAGACACACACCAATGGGATGTGTGCCCGCATCCATAGATTCGCGTACTTTGAGAACACCCCCCCCCGCTTCTACGATACAGACAATCAACAAAGGCGCTACACCAGAAGCAGCGCCAATGTAAGAGAAAAAAAAATCAGGTAGGGCAAACAAGTGGAATGGTGGTGCGACATCCCTCAGGCTTCTCCTGCCACCACACCCTCCCACTTATTCCTCCACGTCAAGTGGCTGCTCGTGCAGCACCTCCTCGTCCTCCTCTGCCGCTGTCGCCACGCGGTCTTCGGGGGGCAGTTTGAAGCCGTCCAGGTACTTCCGCGCATTCTCCTCCTCGAAGATGGTGAATGGGGTGTCCTTGCCCACAATCGCGATGGTGGTGTTCTTGATGTTCAGTTCCACCCCCTCCGGCGTGGCCGACGCGAGGGCCTTCAGTGCGTGATTCACCAGCTCATCTAACGAGCTGTCCGGGAAGTGTTCGAAGTGGCGCTCCAGGTACGTGCGCGACGACTGCGAGCGGACACCCATCGCGGTTGCCTTGTAGTCGTACACGTCGCCCGAGGGCACCGTCTGGTAGAGGTGCGGGCCCTGACGGTCGTGTCCGGCCAGCAGGATGCCCACGCCAAAGGGACGCTTTCCGCCGTACTGAATATGGCGCTGATGCTTCTCGCCGATCATATCCGCCATCTGGTTCAGCGGGAGGCCGGTGTCGTACATGTAGCGGTAGTTCATGCACTCGGTGCGGAGGAAGCGTGCCAGGACACGCCCGTCCGCGACGAGGCCAGAGATGGACATGCCTACATGCTCGTCAATCTCAAAAACCTTCTCTTGGTAAGAAGATAACTCCGCCACAGGACTGCGCTTCAGGGCAGCGAGCACCACGAAGTCTTTGCCTTTCACGCCGACCGTGGCTGATCCGTTATTCACCGCCTCGTTGGCATACTCGATCTGGAAGAGGCGACCCGTGGGGCTCCACGTGGTGATGTCGTTATCGTACTCGTTCTTGAACATGATGGTTGCGAGCCGACGGCGCTACGAGGTGATCAACAGCTGAAAGAACAATAATAATAATAAATAATAATAGTAAGGTGGATGGATTGAAATGCTTGCACCTCGTTTCGTGGACTACACACGAAGCAGCTGGAGGGGAAAAAAAAACTTTTTTGTTTTTATCCGTAGAAGCTAGAAAGGGAGAAATAATCCAACAAACGTTCCGTGCTTGTTCTGTGGTTTGGGGCAGTGTTTCGACTCTGTTACATCAAAGATCTATGTGCATTATTATTATTATTATTATCATTCGAGTGTCGCAGGAAGAAAAAAAGAGAAAAGATGATGACGAATGATATGATAGCTTAAGAGCTCAAGTGCCAAGAGTGAACAACCACTCCTTGCCGGCTCACGCTTCCTCCTCTACTGCTTCACAATCCCAGCAAAACATCGGATCTTCAGGGACTACTTTTATTAACACAACCGCCGGCACTCGTTCTCGTTCACTTGCAACTGTATGGAGGATCGCACGAAAGGAAAGAAAGTAGAATTTCCGGTGTGCTCGCTTCCCTTCCATAATCGAGACAGCCCGATGCGCAGAAAGAACCACAGGTAGCTCACCACTGCTGATAGTCGACGAAGCACAAATCGCTTTTGCTCGCCGCCGCATCTTTCCATTCAAGTTGGCACCGTTCTGTAGCCCTTGAATGATCTGCCGTTGCTATAGCGTTGATTGTTTGTTTGTTTGTTTTTCTATCGCGCACAAAACGGTATTCGCGACAGGACTTCCTGTTTTGAATACGAGTGAGACGCCCTTGTTTTTGTTTTCTTTTCTTAAACACTTTTCTTTGACCACTTGATTAAAGAACACTTTAACGAGAAGAACAAAATGATAGCGAGGTACCAAAAGAAATACAGAAAACAAGAAGATACTTTGCTCAAAGGAAAAAAACAAAAAGAAAAGGGAAATTGAAAACACTAATGATGAATGAAATGCGTTGTTGAAGTAGCACAAATATGTTAAGTGCTTCTGTTTCTCGCCTTTTGAAATCTATTTTTTTCATTTCCATATTTTTTTTTATCTTTCACTACACACGCTTGTCTTCTTCCTCTGGCAAGGTTTTTTTTCCGGGTTCGTTTCTCCGAGAGGGGGATGCAAAGGGAGGCACTATTGGAACAACTACACAGCAGAAGAAGATCACCTAAATCGCCAAAAGAAAGATGGTAGAAGGCGTTTTTGATAGCCTCACCCTTTGCCCTTCTTTCGGTTTCACCATTGTGGGAAACTGTCTTCAGTGGCTTTTGGTGTGTGTGTGTGTGTGCTGAACACACAGGAAACATTTCGCCATCATGGATCTCTTCGCCCATCCTTCAGTGCCACCCCTTCGCATCACGCTCTCCTTCTTCTCTCATTCGACTTCTCTCGTTCTCTTCCAAACGGAAAACTAACGCAACGAACCAGCGCACGGCGCAGCACGGTGAAGCGCAACTGTGTAACTTTGAAAATGAGCTCCAAGACAACAACAGTTTTTCGTTTTCTCCCAATTCGAGCAAACATGCCTCCTGAGCACCAAAGTCTCAAGAGGAAGATTGCGTGTAAACGGGAACTTGGTTGTGCCGCCACTGCGTTCGGTTTTCTTTTCCTGCTTCTTTTTTGGGGAAAAAAAACTCAGAAAAGGAAAAGTCAGGTTCGATGCTATTAGCTTCCAATCCATCCAGCTCTCCTTCACTCTCCTACGCGCTCACGTCACGTGTGGTGCGATCATTCACCGCCGTAAAACGAAAACGCACACACGCGCGCCAAAACAGAACATTGCAGTCTGATGTCTTTTTCGTCTCTCTCTCTCTCTCTGTGTGCGTGTGTGTGTGCGCTCCGTCGGGCGGGAACGCAACGCCGTCGTCGTCGTCGAGGTAGTATAACAAGTTGGCAGGCGGGGAAAACGCTTACCAAACAAGGGGGGATCGCGGAAAAACAAAATCGTAAAATCGTTACGTTGATGATTCCTTTAGAGAAGATAAATGTCTTTTTTTAAGGTTACAAGAGAAAACAAAAAGAAAAATAAAATCGTGGTGTCGAGCGTCCACGGGAAGTCTCACTCTCTCTAACACCTTCGTTTTTCTTTCATATATATATATATTTGTGTGTGATGGAAGATTTTTTTTCCTTTACCAGATTAGAATTAAGCGACTGCGGCGCCTCGGAGAAGTATTCTTTCTTTTTTTTTTGAAGAGGAAAAAATAAACGGACTATTAAATCAATATATTTTTCTGGTTTTTTTTTTTTGGTTGTGGCGCTTTGTTTTACCAGTGCAAACCCCACTTTCTTAACGATTGCCCTCTCCCGTTCACCTGGGATGATCCAATCATCACACTCCCGCCAAGACGCACAAGCCAGATAAGAAAGAAGAAAAGGGATTGCAAGCATCAGCAGCAGCAAATAACATTGCTACAAATATATAGATCATGTAGCAAGAAGAAAAAGAAAAAAAGAGCGATTACGAGACACAGCTTTTTGTTTTAGAAACCATTCGTTTTTCCCAATTTTTCTTAGCAGCTGGACTACACTTACGGAAAACCAAAAAAAAGGACAAGAAACTTGGCGTGATCAACGAGATCAACACCAAAAGCAAAAAACCTATATATCTTAAAACAGTAATAATAATAATAAGGAAGTCGAGATTCTGCTTTGAGTCCGTCTTCTCCATCCGGCGACTTGCATCGGCAACGCAAAAGAACGTTGAACATATAAGCTTTAAAAATGAAGGAAATGAAAGGTGACTCCAAGACAATACAGAGGACACCTTAAAGAAGTTACTTAATCCGCACAGCAGGATAAGAAAAAGATGAAACATTCGAATGCTAAAGCAAAGAGAAACGTAGCCGCTGAAGCAGTTCCGGTACCTCTCTATCTCTCACATTCTGTTGAACATCTTTCTCTTCTGTTCCCCTGCCTGAAGGCTCTTCTCTTCCTCGCATATGTATCGGTGTCCTTTACACTTCATTATTTGAGTCAAGCAAGCCGCCGGAAGCGACATCAAAGTCCGTCTCTCTAGTGGCGGTCAGGGCACTCGCGGGACAGGTGCTCCGTAGAGCCGCAGTTGTAGCACGCCTTCGGCTTGCGCTCGCTCTGGCAGTCGCGGCTCAGGTGGCCGGTCTGACCGCAGTTATAGCAGGTGCGCGTGTCAGCGCCAGTCTTGGCCTCATTCGGGCACTCGCGAGACAGGTGCTCCGTAGAGCCGCAGTTGTAGCACGCCTTCGGCTTGCGCTCGCTCTGGCAGTCGCGGCTGAGGTGGCCGGTCTGACCGCAGTTGTAGCATGTGCGGGATGCGGCAGCCTTGGGGCATTCACGGCTCATGTGGCCGGTCTCACCACACTTGTAGCACGTGACAGCAGCGGACATTATTCGACGGGTTGGTTGGGTTGGTAGAGAAGATAGCGGAGATTGAAAGACTTTGGGGACAAGCTCGAAATCTGGATTCAAGGTGCGTGCATGAAGGAAGACAGAAGGGACGTAAAGAAGAGACAAACGCACACGGAAAAAAAAAACAAAGAATGCGTACGGAGGAGGAGAAGAGTTGGAGAAGAGGAAGCAGCCGTGAAAACATAATGGGCGACCGAAACACAGAGGTTGCGGTGCGTGGGCTTACAAGGCTTGCGGTGACGTATGAACGCAGGTGTCTCTCACGCAAAAGGCTGCAGTTGCGCTACAGAAAAGCGCACAGAATGGTGTGTGAATGAGCCGAAAGTGCTTTCGTTCTCGAGAGACAGTTTTTTTTTCTAGTAGAAAAGAAGACTACAAAGAAAAACGGTTGCAACCTTCTGCATTTCCGCAGCGCTTTCATTGAATGCAACTTCTTCTTTTTTTTTCCGCATCGTCCGCATAAGAGCGTTCCAAACCGCGTACACAGTAGTTTTACCGAACGAACCCAAGTCCGACTCCATCTCACACGTAAGCAACGAGAATGGGGCGCGGAGGACTGGGCAGGTGTTGGGGTGGAATGGTGGGGCTTTACTTTTTTCCACAATAACATACACACTCGGAGTTTACAGAAATAAAGACAAATAAAAAGGAAATAAGGATTGAAACCCGTATAAAAAACATTTTAGACAGATTAGTTTTGTTTTCCTTTTTAAAGAAAAAGACAAAGAAAAAAAAATAAGGTCGCAACACGCACTTGCTTACGGTTATCCTCCGTTCACTGCGTTGTGGAACGACAACCTTTCCGCATGTCGCCCGCATCCTCTCTCCCCCTCTGCGTGTCCCTCATGCTGAAAAAAACTAAATCACACTGTGCTCTTGCTTCTAAGGTAGGGGAGTTCTCTTCTTTTCTTTTTTATTTCGCCTTATGTGTGTGTGTGTGTGCGTCGTCCCTCACTGTGAAACAACAGCGGAGGAAAACCGAGTTGGATTCACGTCCCTTAACTAGCACACGCACAGACAGAAAGGAATGTAAACAAAAGAAGAAAAACAGGCTTATCAAGAGGGTGGGACGGTGCACATCTGTGGCGCTAACGCCACGTAGGTGGTGGAGAGAAAACCACAGTGTACAGTGCGCACTTCCTTATTCGTTCTCTTTATAATAAAACTTATGGAAAAAGAAAAGAGAAAAGAGAAACAGCTTTCATGATAACATGAGGACGACAGCAAACATTCCCAGAAGGACCGCGCGAAACAAGTCGGCTTTTAGACGCCTAACGCCTTACTTAAGCAGCGTTACAGCTCCGCAGCTGACCCGTCCCACCGCAGCCTTCGCTTCGAACTTGCGTATCATTCAATTCATGGTGCCCGGCAAATCGTTCTCATCAGGTGTAATGCACACCTTGTTAGTGTTCTTCTTTGTTCCTAACTGTTGTCCGTCTCTCTAGTGGCGGTCAGGGCACTCGCGGGACAGGTGCTCCGTAGAGCCGCAGTTGTAGCACGCCTTCGCCTTGCGCTCGCTCGGGCAGTCGCGGCTCATGTGGCCAGTCTGACCGCAGTTATAGCAGGTGCGCGTGTCAGCGCCAGTCTTGGCCTCATTCGGGCACTCGCGAGACAGGTGCTCCGTAGAGCCGCAGTTGTAGCACGACTTCGCCTTGCGCTCGCTCGGGCAGTCGCGGCTCATGTGGCCGGTCTGACCGCAGTTGTAGCAAGAGCGGGATGCGGCAGCCTTGGGGCATTCGCGGCTCATGTGGCCGGCCTCACCACACTTGTAGCACGTGACAGCAGCGGACATTATTCGACGGGTTGGTTGGGTTTGGAAAGCGGGAGTGGATAGTAGTGGTAGGAAGAAGAGCGGGACTCGAAAGCGAATTCTCTATTTATACGGTAAAAAGAAACAAGCAAATGAATGAGTGATGGAAGGACACGCAACGAGTTTTATAAAGAAGTGAGGAAGAGGGGATGTGAAAGGGAAAGTTATTCTTTCATATCCTTTTTGTGTCGTTTTGTAGATGACGAAACAGAGCAATGGCAATTTGGTGGTGCTCGGCAACGGCTGCATTGGCGTGTGAGGATCACACACACACCCACACACACACACATACACATATGTACTTCTTCGGCAGTTTTGCAGTTGGACCACGTACATGTGCAAAACGAAGAAGTAATGCCAGCGACTACGCAGAGTAAGCTGCTCATCAGTCTGCGTGAAAAGCGCATCTGCAGCCTCCAAAAACACCACTACCTGTAACGAGCGCGTGTCTGTGGAGTGGGCCGAGTGCGCAAAAACGTCGACCAAAACACAGAGCTCTGGAACGAAGTGGTGCACGGCTTTTAAAATAGAAGAGGAGGGAAAAGACACCTAAATGTTGATAGGCTTCGACGCTCAGTAAACTGGCGCGCCTGCGTCAGTCCGTAGCCCGCAGGCTATGTGTGACGCGACTATCTCCTGATGTGCCCTTCCCATAGCGTGTTCCTTGACATCTTTGAGGTTGATCAACTTTAGTTACAAACACAAGTCATAAACCGTTTTCTTTTTCCAAACAAGACAAAGTTTCCTACCAGAATCCCTCGTCTACCAGGGACGATCAAGACGCAAAAGAAGAAAAAGAAAAGAACAAAAACGAATACGCGCAAGAACTACAGGAAGAACCTACACAAGCCACCAAAACAACTCTCTCAAGATCCAACACTACCTTCATCAAAAAACCCGTAAGAAGGAGAAAAAAACATAATAAGAAGAAAAGAAACATATATATCGTGAGGTGCGATTGTGTACCTCACTGCTCTACGTCGCGGTGTCCAACACGTTTGTTTTCTCTCCGTCAACACAGACACACACGAGAAGAGAAACAACGTAGCAAACAAACAAACATAAACGAAAGAAAGAAGAACTCCAACTCGATACAGGATGAAAAGAACACGAAAATTCTCTCACGCTCAAAGAAACAAAAACAGTGCTACACACCAGAAACTCAAAAATAATAAAAACAATAAAAGGAGGGCCGATAAAGTTGCGTTTTACTGCGGTGGTTGCTCTTTGACTCCCCTCTTCGGTTGCCTGTTTGTATACTTTTTCTTTACTTGTTGCTTCTAAGACTGGCTGCTCAACAGGACAACGCGGGAAGCGGACCGACACATAATAATGAAGAGTGAGAACACCGCACGTACAAGAAGAACAATTAAAAGAAAAAAAAAAACACTTTCCTCTGCCACACATAGGTCGTACACCACATCTATCATCTCCAGCTGTTTGGGGTAGTGGGTTCGATTTGAAAAGAAAAAAAAACTCAAGGTCACTCCACACGACGCCTCTAACAGCTTAAAAAGGGCGGCCAGAGCCGAACTGAGGCGGCATGCCAAAGTTCGTCTGCGGCGGCGGCATGCCCATCTGCATCGGCGGCGGCATCCCGGTCATGGGCGAGACAGCCGTATTCTCAATCATCAGCGGCACCCCGCCGGGGCCCTGCACGGGACCAGCCCGGCGCGCCGCATCCTTCGCGGCCGTCTGCGCGTCCATCATCGACTTCTCCATGCGGTCCACCTTGCCCGAGTACTCCTGGATGACCTGAATCATGTACGGCATCGCCGCCTCCATCCGCTGATTCAACCACGCCTTCTGCATCACCGTGGCCGGCTTCAACAAGTCGTAGCACGTGTAAAGGCAGGCTGCGAAGCACTCCGGCGAGTCCTTCACGAAGTAATCCAGCAGTGCGGTGACAAGCTCGCCATCACCGCTCTCGGCCGCCGTCTCGATGGCCTCCTCGAAGAGCCTGTTCTCCTTCGCCACCGTAATGGCGTGGGCGTAGCGCTTGTTCCGGCGGTGCAGCAGCAAGGCAATCTTGCGGAACTCGAAGAGCTCCATCTTCTCCAGCCGCGCAGACAGCTCCTCCGAGTCGTAGTTGTTAAACGTCTCTACGGAGTGGCGCAGCGCCTTGAAGTCTTCCTCCTCGATGTACAGGTCGTTCAGCGCCTCGTTCACCTTCTTCGCGTTGCGCTCCTGGGCTGCCTCAAGGTAGGTGCGCACCACGTAGATGGGTGCCATCTTCTTCACCTCGAGCATCACCCGTTCCGGGTCGACGCGCTTGAAGACGGAGGAGAGGAAGTCGTTGAGCTGCTCCGGGTGGGTCTTGATGTAGAAGCCAATCGCCGTGTACACCACATCACTGGCACCGAGGTGGCCAATGACGTCCTTGAAGATCTCGTGGTCGAAGGCGTCGGCGTGGTGCTGCATCATCGTGTTCGCGGCTGCAAGCCAGTCTTCGTTGTTGATGTGCAGCAGGCGGAGCACCACCCAGTGATGGTACTGCTCGCAGACCGAGATCATCTTGTGCGTGTTGATCCTCTTTGGGTACATGTTCACGTGCTCCACCAGCTTCTCCGGGCGGTACTTGGCGAGCAGGACGCCCATCTCGGTGAAGATGGCCATGTGCGCGCCCTGCTGGCCGGCGGCGTTCTTGAGGACGGCGAAGAGCTCCTCCCAGAGGCCGCGGGTCTCGTAGCGGTTGCACATCGAGCTCACCTCCTCCGCCTTCAGTACCACCGGCACAGCGCAGATGCCGGCCAGCTTCAGCTCGCCCGCCTCAATGCAGGCCAGATTGACCTCCTTGTACGTAGAGATGGACTTGGCCTTGTTCGCCGCCTCCACTGCAGCGGTCAGGTTGTGGAGCTTCACCTCCGTCGAGGCAAGCCGGACGTAGTTGTTCGCAACGGTGTAGAGTACGCGGGCGGACTCATAGAGCTTGTCGTCGAAGCAGCGGTCGGCGATCACGGCGATCTTCACGTTGTGCGTCTCCTTCAGGAACTCCTCCAGCTCGCCGAGGCGTCCCGTCTTGGCGTACGTGATGACGAGCGCCGTGTCGATCTTGTTGTCCTTGGCGCGCGAGTACTGGCGGGCCATCGTGAGGTATTTGATGAGGTCGCCATAGCTGTTCGTGCGCTCCGCCGCCGCAGTAACCTCGGCCACGAGATCGGCGTTCTTTGCCTTGATGAGGCAGTCGATACCCTCGTGCACCTCGTTCTGCTTCACCAGGTACTCGCCCAGCACGCTCCACACCGGCGGCGTGTCCGTCTTCTGCGCAAACGCGCGGCCGCGCGAGATGTCGTTCATGTCTTGCAACAACACCGTCACGGCCTCCTTCTGCATATCGTGGCGCGTGTACACGACAAAGGCCACCTCGTGCATGCCGGCACCGGACGCGATGTTCGCAATATCCTTAGCGTCGTAGTCCTCGAGCGTGGTAACGTACTCCATCACTTTGTCTTTGCGAGACCGCACGGCGGACATGATGAGGAGGTTCTCGAGGAAGCGGTTTTTGCGGAACCGGCCGTGCACGACGATCTGGTCCAGCAGCGAGGTCAGTTCCTCTGTCAGGTTCGCGTTCATGAAGGCGCGCACCGTCGTGCTCACCTCCTCGCTTACCTCCGTCTCCGGCAGGGCGGTCTGCTGCACCGACTCCACGAGCTGCTGGCGCTGCGACGAGTTCTCCGTCAAGACGCTGGCCCAGAGGTCTAGGTTCTGCTCCTTCACGAGGTAGCGGGCGAGCTGCTTGTACATACCGTTGCGGTGGCACAGCTCGATCAGCTCCTCGCTGCAGTGACCGTGGCGGTAGGCGATGTAGGCCAGGTTCGGGTCACGTGTCTCGCAGTACTTGCCCACCACCTTCGCGTCGTAGTACTCGTTCTCGTTGAGGAACTGCTCGGGGCTCTGGCCAATGTCAACGTAGATCTTCGCCAGGGCGTTGTACAGCGCCGAATCGGTCTTCTTCTCGCTGCGGCGGTCCTCGAGCCACTGCTTGATGAGGTGCAGCCGGCCCGCCTCCTCGGTGCAGGCGACAAGCTCCTCGATGGGGCACATGGTGCCGACGGCAGAGAGCAGGTTGCGAATGAAGTCCTCGCTCACATTGCACTCGATCAGCGCCTTCACCACCTCCGGCGTCTTGCCGGGGCTGCGGCGGGTGACGTACTGCTCGATGTAGCTCTCGTTGCTTGTCTCCACGAGGTAGTGCACCATCTCGTTCACTAGGTTGTGCTGATCGCACACGTTGATGAAGGGCCACATGTCCGTCAGCTTCTTGTTCTTGAGGTAGTTCTTGGTGCGTTCGGCGTCGTAGCACGGGCTCTCGCGGGTCATGCGCTCGAGCTCTTGCATCTGGCCCATCTCCGCGGCTGCCTCGATGTAGCGGAAGTGCACCTCAGCGTCACGGGTGTAGGGCACGATGGCGCCGAGGTAGTAGTAGAGCACGTCGTACATGTTGTGTTCGAGAAAGAGGGCGATCAGGTCCGCCGCGCCGAGGGCGTCGCTGTACTTGGTGGCCACCTGCACAATCACCTTGAAGTTCTGGCGCGAGTTGGCGCACAGGTCCTCGAGGCACTTGAGGCTGTCCTGCTTGTTCAGTTTACCAAAGAAGTCGACAAGCCACTCGGGGTTGAAGCTCTGCGTCTGCTGCAGGCAGCGGCGAATGCTAGCGAGGTTGTCGAGATCGGCGTCCTGCTTCTGTGCGGTGATGTAGCACTCGATGGCGTGCTGGTAGAGCCCGGCGCGCTCGCACAGCGGGGCCAGCTTCATGCCGTCGTAGAACTGGCAGATGTTGCGGGCGAAAATCTTCTCCGCGACGGACGGGTGCGAGTACTTGAGGTTCATCTCGAGCAACTTCGTCTGCAGCTCCACCGTCGACTCGTCGTTGTGGTCGCGCAGAACCTCCAGCAAGAACTCGGTCGCCTGTTGGATGCGCTGGCTTGACACGAACATGTCCACAATCTCCTCCGCGCTCAGCACGGGTGTGTCGCCCATCTCGCGGTAGAGCATCAGGCCCAGGTTCACGGCATCCTGCGGGGCCACGCGGATGAAGTTGTTCATGATGACGCGCCAGTCCGGAGAGAAGTTTGCGCGCTTGCAGTACTCCACGGCCTTCTGCGTCTCGTTCCGCTGCAGCAACACGTTCAGCACCTTGGCATGTGCGTTGCCCTGGTGGAAGATCTTCAGGGCCATGTCGGGGTCCGCCTGTTGGACGAGGTCGCCGAGCTCCTCGGAGGGGGTCAACTTGCCCTCATCGAATTGCTGCTTCACGTAGCCGATGCCGCCCTTCGGCACCACCGCCCGCGCCAACTCCACCGACTCGAACTCGTTCAGGCTCGTCTCCGCGAGCACGATCTTGAAGTAGGTCGAGATGGCCGGCGGCTGACCGGGCTGCTGCGGCATCTGCATGAAGCGCAGGAGCGTCTCGCGGGAGCGCAGGGCGTTGCCAGGGGCACGCAGGCACATGCGCACAGCCCCCTCCACGTTGCCGCTGCGCATGTAGTTTTCCATCTGCACCTTAAAGAGGTCGTCGACGCCGCCGAGGTTCGCCGTGGAGGCGATGCGCAGCGCGAGCTCCGCGTTCTGCATGCGGTTCTTCACAAAGTTGATGATGCCGTTGTCGTTGGGGCCAATGCGGATGACGGCGCCCTGGTTGTTGACGCAGACCACGCCGCCCACTTTGCTGTCGTCCGCGCCGCGGAACACCACGGCCTGCGTGAACTGCTGCTCCGTCAAGATCGTGCCCGTGAAGATGTCCATGAGGGCGTAGCTGCCACGGCTGGTCACGACGGTCAGCAGCTTGTGGCGGTCCGACACGTGCATCGCCAAGGGAAAGTCGCCGGGCTGAATGCGGATGTTGTACAGGCGGCGCGGCAGCGAGAGATCCGTCTTGGACCCGGTGGGCAGCTCCATGATCATGACCTGGCCACCCTGCTGTGGGCTGCTCCACGCCATGCACATGATGTTGCACTTGCGCGGCTCGGTAGGGGTCGCGGTGGAGATGAAGCAGCACGCGTGGCCGTCCAGCACGCGGCCGCTGCGGTTCTCCACGCTGTAGAGCAGCGCCTTGCCCACCATCGCCCCCGACATGTCGCGCGCCACACCCGTCACAACGAGCCACTTCTTCGCCTCGTCGGTACGGTACGACAGCACCTGCACAGAGCCGTCGTAGTCCGCGCCGCGGTCAAAGATGTGCTCCGGCGCATCATCGGCGGCCGTGTCGAGGCTCCAGTGATAGACGGCGGTTGCCGTGACGATGCCGAGGGTGCGGTCATCAATCCACTGCCAGTAGGCCACGTCATCGGTGAACAGCGTCGCCTTCAGCCGCTTCGAGGCGTCCACGTCGAATACCTGCAAGTTGCGGCCGCTGCGCAGCGCCAGGACCTTCGACTTGGGGTTCACCACGCACGACTCGGCATCGCGCACGTTGTTGCGGATGCTCTCGCGCTTGTCGAGGTCGACGATGACGAGGGAGGTCTGACCGCCCTCCTGGACATCCCGCACGCAGGCGTACTTGTCGCTCTCGATGGTGACGTTCTTGAACGAGATGGAGCCAGGGCGAAGACCACCGGAGACGGAGTTGAGCTGAAAAATCTCAGCCGACACCGCAGGGGAGTCCATCGTTTCCTTCTTTTTGAGCGTGTATGTGAAACGTATGTGTGGCTGTGTGTGCGTGTGTGTGTGTGTGTGTGTTCCCGGCAGGTTGCTGTTGTACCTGCAAATGAACGTTACGAAAAGGGAGAGAGAAAAAAAACAGTCCGGCAGCACACCGTTCTTCTCTCAACGCAACTGTGCCTCTTCTTCTTTTTTCTATAGATAGGTAATACTTGCCAGCACGGCGCAAACAGTAATAATGTGTTGGGAATATGCAACACGGAGTAATCTTCTTCCCCCTTCACAAGAAAAAGAACACGGCTGGTGCACAGTTACAAGACGAAAATAAAAAGAAAAGAAAACGCAATGGTTTGACTAAATCAATTATCAACGCACGCAGAAATGAAAAAAAAAACACTGTTTTTGCCAGAAAAGAAAAAAAACAGAGAAACAGAGAGAGAGAGAGGTAAGATGAAAGAGAGAAACAAAATCTAACGAGCCAAGAGGTAACAGAAATCGCAAGTCTCAATCATCGAAAAGAGACAAAAAAAACAAAAACTCCATCTCCGATTTTTAGAACGCTAAGGGACTTGCCGTTACCGTCATTGCGGAAAACAAAAACAAAACGGTCTGTTCTCTTCGTTTGCTTTTGATGATGTAGCTCTTCCATTGAAGACAGTTTCCATGACTTTGCAAGACTCCCACTCGAACAATGAGGTTTTACCTTTATGTGTTCTTGGTTGTTGCCATTGTTGCGGCTGATGCTGTTTTGATTTTCGCTCTTACCGCTATTCCTGCTGATATACAGTTGGCTGCTATCCACTCTGCTACATTACTCTTCTTTGTGTGTGTGTGTGTGGTACAAAAGCGGGTAAAGAAAAGGCACGCACGCACACACACGCAAGAAAAAGCGACCCCGGTGAAGACGTGACGGTGCGCCATCGCGTACTCATAAATGCCATCTTTTTGAAGGGTTGTTTTTTTGCGTTGCTTCTCTTATGCCAGTTGAAAGTTAGGAGACAGGTGGCACATTCGCGTCCAAAACATTTCCTTTGTCTAAGCTTCTTATTGTTTTTCTCTTCTACGTTTCCATGCCACCAACGCGTCAATTTGTGTCCTACGCAACTTCACAACAACAAGAACAAAAATAGAAAGGACATTTAAAGTGCGACGTACTCGTCATCTTTTTTTTTTTTTGAAACCTGCGTTTCCAAGGGAAAAAGAGAGCGAGAAAGAAAGATAAGGAAGGTGCAGCGCAGCGAGAAACCGATTGATGCTGCCTCCTATCCTCCCTGTGTGTTACTTTTGCTTTGAGGGAAAGCTAAAAGGACCTCTTACAAACCACACATGCACTCACCCAAACACACACACACACACACACAAACCCGCACGAGAGAGAAACCCAGACCTCTTGCCGCTTCTCTCGTCCATTTCACGTTCGCTTTCACTACATATGTAAAAAAAAAAAACAGAACGAGCACCGACTAATTGGCCTTATGAGGCTGAATGATGATGACATTAGATCGATGAAATATTTTTTCTCTCTTTTCCCTTTCCCGTCGTGCGTCTCTCGCTTATCCCTCGCGTCGCCGCAAAAAAAAAAGGACGTATTAATGAAGGAAAGAAAAGAAAACAAAGTAATTGAGAGCATAAGAAATAATAGTAGAAAAGGGATTCTTTTTGGTTAATAAGCGGTATCTTGAAAAGAAGGAAGGGGAAAAAAAGAGAATGAAGTAATTGCTAAGGCGCGACAACACCGTCGCCGTCATTTTCCACTAACTGATATTTTTGTTTTTTCCTTTGTGTGTGTGTGTGTTTGATACTTGACTCCCTTCACAATTGCGTGCCTCGTACTCCTACAGCGCCCGCTCTTCATGCCGCTCTTCTTCACCAGCAAAACATCCAGAAAGGGGCTCGAAACACACTCCTAAAATTGTGTCGTTCTGCGCCGACAACGCCGCGCCAGAAATCCTCACACAAAGCATTTCCATGGTGCTCTCTCTCTCTCTTGACCTCCCTTTCCCTTTGCTGCGGAGTTGCTGTCTGTGATGAAAAGAAAGAAAAACCTCCAAAAACACTCTTTGAGGTATAACTTGCGTGAAAAGAATTTTAAAAAAGAAAACGAAAACCTTCAGAACACAAAGGGAAGGGATGTTGGTTGTCATGCACAAAAGCACACACCAAGGAGGTACACTACCTTATTTACTAGACTTTTCTTCCTTCCCTCACATACGAAATTAGTACGCTTTCTTTCTTGCTTGCTGATGTGCATTTGAGCTTATTTCCTTCTCCCCTCTTTTAGGCCTCCGGGCAATCCTTGCGGAGGTGGCCCTTCTTACCGCACTTCCGGCATATCTTATCCGCCGCGGAGCGCTTCGGCGCGGTGGGGCAGGCGCGGCCGGTGTGCCCGTCCTCGTTGCACAGGTAGCAGTGCGGGGAGTTCTTGCACTCACTCGCGATGTGGCCCTTCTGGGCGCAGTTGTAGCACATCACCGTCTCCGACTTGGGCGGCGCCTCGGGGCAGTCGCGCGCGCGGTGGCCGGGCCTGTGGCAGTAGAAGCACGGCGCCTCCTCCGCGCTGATGTTGCTGGGGCACTCCTTCGCGATGTGGCCCGGTTTGCCGCAGCGGAAGCACGGAGCGGAGTCCGCGGCTGCCGTGCACTCGCGGCTCTGATGACCGACACCACCACAGCGGTAGCACACCATTTCTGTTTTCTTAGGGAAAGCTGAAGCGGTATAAAGTGATTAGATGAAGCTGTGCAGCAGTACACGAGAACGCGCGAGTGGGGAAGCGATAAGAGCGCTGAAAGAAAACGAAAAACAAAACACTGAAATTTGCTTGGGTGCTCTGGTGAGAGGCAGCAACAACAGAAAGGAATTATGTTGTGCGGTTGTTGTTGATGTGGTGGTAGTGGGAGTCAAATACACGTAAAAAACAAAACGGCCGTTTGTGCATTTCCGAATGCATGCGTTAAACATGGATTCGCAAAGGGTCGTCAAATAATAATGTAAGTGTTGGCAAAAAAAAGAGAAAAATCAGGTTTTGGAACGACAAAAGACAGAATTGCCCTTTCGTGTCTCAAACCAACAGATGCAATTACCAATGCAAGAAAAACGGCGCGTGCCCTTCAAAAACAACAACAAAAAAAGAAATTGAAGCGCACGAAGGGCCTGCTTCACAGAAAGGTCCTGGCCCGCCTTGCACTCTTGCGCCGATACTCCAATTGGCGGGTGCCGCAGCAAATAGCACACAGGCGATCTGCATCTCTTCCGCTCTAGATGCTCGCTTGGCTACAGTTTTTGGTTGTAGTTGATGTTGTTTTTTGCTCCTTGTTCTACTCTCCGTTCTTAAGAGTATGGCTGCGAATGCATGGCGGATAAGAGGGAGAGAGAGAGAACAAACTAAAAGACGAAAGAGGTCTTTTTTCCCCCTCCGTCCTTACACCTCAGCCCGATTCCTCATTCCTGCACTGCACCTTCGCCGGGTGTAAAACGAAGCCACATTGTTGGCAACGGCAGCTCCACGGCCAAAAAAGAACGTCCTTCGCTACGCAAAGAACATTATCGATCAAATTCTTCTCTCAAAGCACGTACATCCAACGAGTCCATCTGCGTTTGACCCCGCCGCGCTCCACACTTGACGTCACCTCGAATCATCGATCCACAACACTATCCCCTCGCTACCCGCATCCATAATTTTGTGCCTCAGAGATCGGGCCACCTCTAAACCCCATGAACGGCTCCCTCCATCCTGACCAACTGGGTAACTCCACGCCTCGTCCAACTCCTTGAAATGTTGCCTAAATAAACCCACCTGCAGTGACACACCTATTTAACCGATCGAAAGATTAATCTCTGTGAAATCCATAGCTTGCAACGCTAATAAAGTATGAAACCTGCCCTTTAGTCGGAGAACGCGCTATCAAGAGCGCCTCGCAACTGAGAAGACCACACAGCAGAAATAAATGCAGAAAAAAGAGAGGAAGAAAAACCAAGGAAGCCAATAATTCAAGATGTGTTATTGTGTTGCCGTTGTTTTTTGTTCAGCTAGTTAAGCATGTAAAATAGCACGAGTTGGGCACTCCGTAGGTCTTCCCGGCCCGTCGTCACACAACGTACTGACCGAGCTTGACACAGTCGCTGGCCGAAGACACCGTTTGGCACTGCGAAAGCTGCTACAGTCCCTCCACAACGGAATGCACAGCACTTCTTGTGGGTATGCCGCTCCACGTATACGCGCGAGTACACACCCTCACTGCTGTCGTCTGCCGTCACTGCCTGTCGAAGCAAAGCAACAAAGGACGCTCTTGCTGCGGTCCTCGATCAAATCACAGTGGACCCGTTAACATTCGTCACCTACTGCGTCAGCTTTCACACACGTGCGCGCCCCCAACGTATACACCAACACGCACATACGCTCCCGCCTATGCATATGTACCCACGTGCAGAAAAACCTTGACACGTTCAGATGAGTAAGCACGTGAAGAGTCGATGCTTCCACGGTTTTTTTTGTTTTTGTTTGCTGCTACATTTAGCGTTTACTCGATCCCAATTCATGGATCACACGACGGGAGACACATACTCGCGCACAAACGTCCCGAGAGGAGGTCACAAGATGGACCAGAGAAGGGTGCTGACAGCGTATGAAACGACCTCAATTGGTAGAAAACAGTAGAACTAACGTACAATGAGAAAAGAAATTCGATCACGTTGTTCTTTTTCCATCGCCACGCTCCCTTCGCTATAGTCCTTGACCTAACGTTTCACACGTATAGATCCTTCTCTTCCATTCTCGTTTCGCTTCCGAAAAAACGATGACGAGGTGCGTGTTCGCTTCTGCTCCTCGTCCGTTAATCCACACTTTTCCCTTTGTGCTTTCACAGAAAGTGAGAAGTGGAGGGTTCGCTTGGAGTTCTACGAACCCTTGGTTGGCCATCGATATGGAGCGCTTAGACTTATGTCGGTTTTATCAGAAACAATGAAAAAAAGGCTTTGTACTAAATACCAAAGCGGCGCGTATCTGTTGTCTTTCACTTTTCTTATGATCTGTTCTCCATCTAGACTGGTAGAATGAAGAACAACGGTTTGCGGGAGCAAAGAAATCGAACATGATATACAAACAATAATAATAACAGAAAAAAAAACATTTTACAAGAAAGCTACGTTTTTTCTTTGGGGTTTCTTAGCTGGAATGCATTCCTGACACTTATAAAAGAATGCATCGCGTATTACTTTTTTTTCTGCCTGCGAGGCAGCGTAGCGTATCTTCAACACGGAACAGAGAGGAAAAGAGAAAAGAATTATCCCCTTCGGGTCTGAGGAGAACAGCAAAATACAGAAAAAGAAAGTCGCTGTGCGAGGGGGGGGGGGGCGGCAGCGCATCCAACGCCTCTTTCACTCCGCGTGGCTGGCGCGGAAAGAAACCAAGAAAAGTCGAAATCGTAAACGTGAGAGCCACCGCCATCCACCGCTTCCTTTTACAGTCAACGAGGGAAAGAAAAGAGAACGACAGACGGCGGCGGCGGGTTTCCTCGACGACGTGCGCGCAGCGTTTTGTTCTGTTTTCGCCTCTTCCTCTTCCTTTAAGCTTTATAATCCCTTTTTTACGGTGTCCATTAAGTTGACGCATGATGGTCTTACACGTTTGATTATCGACTTACTTAGTTGCCGGGGCAGTCACGGCTGATGTGGCCGGGCTGGCCGCACTTGTAGCAGGAGCGGTCGCCACCACGGTCACCACCGCGGCTGCCACCATAGCTACCACCGGCCTTCGGGCAGTCACGGCTGATGTGGCCGGACTCGCCGCACTTGTAGCAGGAGCGGTCACCACCGCGGTCGCCACCGCGGCTGCCACCGTAGCTACCACCATAGCTACCACCGGCCTTCGGGCAGTCACGGCTGATGTGGCCGGCCTCACCGCACTTGTAGCACGTGCGGTCACCAGCGCCAGAAGACGCAGCGTTCGGGCATTCGCGGCTCATGTGACCGGCCTCGCCGCACTTGTAGCACGTACGGTCACCACCGTTGCTGTAGCCGCCCTGGCTGTTGGGGCACTCGCGGCTCATATGGCCGGCCTCACCGCACTTGTAGCACGTACGGTCACCGCCGTAGCTGCTGTGTGCGCCGTCGCGGTCGCGCTTCTGGCCGTAGCCTCCACGGCCACCCTGGTTGCTGGGGCAGTCGCGGCTCATGTGGCCACTCTCGCCGCACTTGTAGCACTCCATACCCTTCGCAGATCCGGGCTTGGCGGAGTTCGGGCAATCGCGGCTCATGTGGCCGGCCTCACCGCACCGGAAGCACGTCATGTTGCCGGCCGCACCGGTCTTCGCCTCGTTCGGGCACTCGCGGCTCATGTGGCCAGCCTCGCCGCAGCGGAAGCACGTCTGGGTGCTGTTGTCCTTGGCCTCCGCCTTGGGGCATTCGCGGGCGAAGTGGCCCTCCTCACCGCACACACGGCAGGCGGTGCCGCTCTCGTTGCGCGGGCGCTTGACGTCTTCGGTGTCGGACATGATGAGAGATTCGTAGAAGGGAGTTGGAGTTTTTGTGGTGTGGATTGCAAAGCAGAATGCGCAGAGACACGTAAGACGACGGTGAGATGCGGTTAAACCAAAGTAAACTTAACAGACACAGAAAAAAAGAGGGTATTTCTGAATGTAGGGGTGTGCGGTGGTGATTGTTGTTTCAAGGAGCAAGTATATCGTTGAGATGGAGGAAGAAGCAAGGCAGGAGGGAAATAAATTTTCAGAAAAACATCGTACCCGCTCAATACGAATCCAAGCGAGATAAGGGCAAGACCCATTCCGCCCTTTTACCGCTCGGGTGATTGCGGATACTCTGACTGCGAGCACAAGGCAATAGTCCAAGACACGTATGTTGTTGCCTTCTTACGTCACGACGCATTACAACTCAGCAAACAAAGAGAGAAGAAAGAAAGACAAGCACCGAGCCGTTGCAACTGGTGGCACAAGGAGTTGCGACACAGTGAATGCCAGGGTTCCTCTCTCTCTCTCTCTCTCTCTGTTCTCAGAGGAAGCACTCAGAATAGTTTTTACTCGCACCGTGTTGTGCGGACAAGCAAATCTCTCTTTGACATCTTTTCTTTCGGCCAATGGAGCACAACACAAAACGCCACTGAACAATAAGGAGCGACGACTACACGCCAGTAATAAAGACTTTTTCTAGTAATAATAAAAAGTGGGCATTGAGGCAACAGAATCAACATCAACACGGAAAACACACGTGAAGGGCAAAAGTCGAGAGAGAAAGAGAAACCGCTCGGCCTTCTCAGCACAACGCGCTGCGAAGGTGCCGGTATTGGAAAGAATGAAAAATATGTGTATCCAGCTCGGAACACTTTATGGCAACGGTTGTCGATATCGTGCCACAACCCCCCAAAAAAGGAGTTCAGATGTGCTGCGATGTGCCAACGCTTTCCCTTTTTCCCTCCTTCCGCGCAGTGTTTCCTGCGGATTCTCTTTCATCTTCCTCTTCCTTTACCGCGCAGGGAAATAGCGCTCGTACAGCTTCGTCTGATCGTCGCGCGAGATCTTCGTCCAGCCCTTCTCATGCACGTGGTAGACGGTGACAATACCACCCGAGGCGCCATCACGGTAAGTGGCGTGAAAGATCGAGCGGCGCGCCAGATCGCACGCCTCTTCCACCGAAAGGTCCTTGCGGTAGCCCGTGTCCAGTACACCGTACGCGTAGATGGAGCCGGAGCCGACGCTGAAGAGGTCCTGCTTCACGCGCGAGCCCTTGTCGTCGACGTAGTACAGAGAGGGACCGAACTGGTCCCACCCCGCCACCATGGTGCCCATCGAGAGTTGGTGGTTACGGTACGCGTACGTGATGTTCGCCAAGATCTTACTCGCGGCAGCCACCGTGATGCGGGTGCCGTTGCGCAGCTCCCACAGGCGGCACTCCATGCCCAGCACACGCTCCCAGTACTGGCAGTCCGCCGCACCTCCGGCCAGCGTACCCAGCAGGTAGTCGTTGATCTCCAGCACCTTCATCACGGTCTGTGACGCGATGTACTGCCCCGTAGACGCACGGGAGTCGACAGCGACGATGATGCCGCCGTTGAAGCGGAAGGCGAGAGTGGTCGTGCCCTTCTTCACGTCCATCTTCGGGATGGCCCGAGGTACCGGGCACGCCCCGGCCAGCGTCCAGGCGCGGTTCTCGCCATGCAGATGGCGGCTAGAGTCGAGCGGGTCGGCCGTCACCTTTTCGCACGAGTCGGGCGACTCGTCGTCGTCGCGTCGCTGCGGGCCCCGACGGTAGGAGCACATGGCGGTCAGTGGATCCTCGCGCTGCGTGTCCTGCAAGTTGTGGTAGGTGAAGGGACCGATGTGCGGGCAGTCGTCCATCGTGAAGTTGGACGACATGACGGACTCAAAATCGGCGAACATTTTTGACGTGGTGCGCGGGTATATCTTTTTTTGCCTCTCGAAAATTCAGCCGTCTGTTTTTTTCCTAATGATAAAATCTTGTTGCTCTCCGGACTTAGCGGGATGTAAAGAAAGCGAAGAAGAGGTGAAGAAATAGATGCACAACAGAGCTTTAAATACCCCCGAAAAAAAAAGAGTTGTCACCTTCAGTCGATCCTCCAAAGTCGATAGGAGAGACACCTAAAGTTCAGGACAGACTTAAAGCCTTCAAGATGGACCGTGGATTCCATTCACCATCAGATATGCACTCGACGCAGGTGGTTACTGTATTCCGTTTTTGCAGTGAAGCGACGCCAACATACGCCCTCGTTGCAAAACGAAAAAGGGAAGAAGAGCACCGAAAACAGAGACGATGCGGTGCTTGCTTCCTCAACAAGTGAGCTTCACCAACGACCTGCGTTGCTCTGCAATTGTTGATTCTTATGTTTGGTTTGTCTCGGTTTAAGGTGTGTGATATGAACTACTCGTGAGTAATGTCGCGTGGTTCCTGCTGCAGTAGCAAAAAGGGGGGGGGGACGAATCGGAGAGGTTAAAGCACCGCCGTAATATCCTCCACGATGGCGTCGTCGTACGGGACGTCTTCACCTGTGGAGATGTCGCCGCTGCTGCGGTGACGGTGATCCCCCGTCCCCACCAGAAACTCCCGTGGCAGCGGTGGTAGCTCCTCGTCTAACAACTGTGCGCGACGCAGCTGCTGTGCCCGCTGCTCGGCCAGCGACTCTAGTTCCGTCGACTCAAAGCTGAGAGCATCCTTCACCTCCTCATAAGTGTAGTTGTCCAGCTCTTCCAGCTCACGCGGCGTCAGTTCGCGATGGCGGCACAGACGGCGCAGACGCGACACGCGCTGACGGCGGAAGTACGGCCAGTCGCGCTCCACAAAAGGCTGCCACGCGGACCCCAGGTGCTGCATGTAAAACGGCGGGACCGTCACCTCTCGGAGGGAGCCCACGGCAAGGCCCGACAGCGCGAACGGACCAAAGGAAATGCGTCCACCTCGCTCTACGGTGCGGCCGAGGTGCTGCATCAGGTGCGCAATCGGCATCGACTCGCCCCGCACCTTCACCTTCACCGAGTAGCGCGATTTCGTCGCCGGATTGACGAAGAACTCCGCGTTGCGGTAGCAGCGGCCGTTTATTTGGATGCCCTCGGTGTTCAGCTTGTGCACCAGCACGGGATCCATGGCGGGGCGCACGCGCAGTAGGTACGTGCGCTGCACCATCGACTGCGGGTTCTCCAGAAAGCGGGAAAGCTCGCCGTCGTTGGTGAGGAGCAGAATACCATGCGCCCGCATCGGCAGAGAGCCGATCGGCACGAGGTGGTCCATGCCCAGGATGCGGGCGTGTTTTGTGATGAGGGTGCGGCCGGCAACGTCGTTGCGTGAGACAATCACGTTGGCCGGCTTGTGGTACATCCACAGCCGCGGCGGGCTAAAGCGGAGGCGGGACTCGTGACCCGAGACGTGTACGTCGTCCTCCGCACGGACCAGGCGAAACGGGTTACGCTCCACCACGTTGTTCACCCGCACCTGACCACTAGCGATAATGGCGGACGCCTCCCGACGACTGCAGAATCCGGCGCGTGGGAGAGTGCGCAGCAGGTGCACCAGTCCAAGTCCCTCAACGCCCTCGGTAGCTCCGGTGGGGTTTCTGCCTTCATCGGAAGCAGAGACGCGCTGCTGTGCCTGTGCCGCCAGCTTCGCCAGTCGCTGCAACGGGTCGTATTGCGAGGCGCCAGGCACCAGGGCGTCGGAGCGATGTGCCAGCTGCGCGGCTTGGGCAACCTTCTCGGGGGCCACGCCGTCCCTCAAGATGGCCTTATCGGGCACATTCAGTATATCCGGTCCCAGCCCACGCTGCTCCTCACCGCCCTCCTCCGCCTCTTCCGGAGCTAAATCGGCAAGCGAGGTGGTGCTTCTTGGTCGCGTGGGTGACTGACGTGTCGGCAGAGCTGGCGTCCCCTCCCCTCGCTTGGCAAGCTGCAGTAGTTCCTCACCGGCACGCACGTGTCGCAGACGGTGCGGCAAGAAGGTTTCATTCCGTTCCTCTTTCAGCGACTCCGCCTTCAGCTCCATGAGCCGCTCACGCAGCATATCCGTCAGCTGGACCGGCGTGTCACCAAACTCCCTGTCGGCGCCAAAATCTCCGCGGTCGCCTTCGATGGTCTGATCCGCAGGAGCTGCGTTGCTTTCCGCCGCGAGGCGCAGACTACCGTGGCGACGCGCACTGCCACCGGTTAGGTGTAACACGTCCGGCGACAGGCGCTCCGTCTCATCGCGTGCACCGCCGTAACGTCCGCTGCGCAGCTTATCGATCATGCCACCCCGCACGTCCAAGCCGCCCTCGTCGAAGAAAGAGTGCTGCCCGCTCGCGTGCCGCTCCTTCTCCGCCAGCTTCGCAGGAGTCACGATGTTGTCCACGTTGTAGTGGTGCGTGATGTCGTGCCAGCGTCGTGCTCGGCTCGCCTCCGCGGCGTCTGGCGAGCGCGGGGTCGCTTTGAGGTGAGCCACGGCGCGCGGGAAGAAGCGTTCCACGTCGATCAAGTCCTCTACGGCGCTCGTGTCAAGCCCACGCGGGAGCGATGCCGCCATGTCCGCGTCGTACTCGACAGCGGTGTCGCTGGGTGGCGGGGGGGCGTCTCGTGCCTGTCTCCTCTTCGGGGTGCCGCCCCGTCGTCGTAAGCGAGGCGCGCCACGCTTCGCGCGTTGCTGCTTCGGCGAAGACGGCGGTGATGACAACGGCGCCACGTCGCTGTTCGCTTCAGCCGCTTCCTTCTCACCAAGAAAACCCAGCTCACTAGTCGAAGAAGGACCACTTGGTCCATCCTGGAAAGGAAGATTGTGGTTGAAATTGCTGGTTGAAGACCATCGAACCGATGGCTGTCCACCTTCTGCAAACAACGCCGTCCTGCGGACGCAAGTGCTGCGCCGGATTGCACGACAGATGACCGGTAGCGAGCCGATCACGGCACGTCGCATCTTTGATAGTCCAACTTGATCTTACTCAACCTCCTCTGACAAAAAAAGGAGATCTTCTCTTCGTTTTAAAAAATATTAAGATGTACGCCTGTGGGCGTGCTTAATCGTGGGAGATCTTTTGCAGTTTCTTTCACCGATAACATGTTGATAAGCGGCAAGGCGGTGAACAGGTTTTGGAATGAAAACAAAGAGGAGGAAGTAGAGAAGTAATGAAAAGACGCGACTGACTCATCATTCCAGCAACTTATCCTTCTTATTGCTTAGCATCCAATAAACCGCCAGAACAGGGTATGGTCGTTTAAGTGTCGGCGCAACCCAGACGTACCTTTCCTTGACTACCATATTTCCGATGTTATTGTTTTTGAGGGGGTATGAAATCAGCACGATCAGCAGTGGTGCGAGCATTAATCTATGCGACTGCAGTCCCTACATTAAGGCGGAACGACTCTTTTGAAATCAGGCATATACAAATTGGTAAAGCCGGCAACGGAGCTGCCATTTAAAAACGAAAGTGCAAGATTTTGCCAGGCTCTTCCTTTTCTTTTTGCCGCTCTCCGTCAGTACATGATCGTGCGACAGAGGTGATGGCGTGCTTCTGAAGGCACCATGTACCGTCCGATGTACCACAAAGTGTAGTCCAAGTGATTCACGCTACACGACATACACGTCGTCTCGGAGGTTGACGGGCTTTTCTGTGAAGACGACGTGTGAGAGCGTTGGGCGTTTAAAAATTCTAGCAGTCGGTCAGCGGCCACAAGCGTTGCGATGCGGATCGAAGCTTCCTCCGCAGCACCAGGCCGCAGAAGGACGTGGTGGTCCACCATCTGCGCAAGGTGCGCGTCGTAGAGCAGCAACCCCGCAGCCCGCAGCGCCTTGGGGATTTGATAGTCGCAGCAGATAGAGAGCTCTGCGCGATCGGTGAAGAGTCCAACGCCGTGTGACTTCACAACCTCCACCGCACGCTCCGCCATCCACGACAAGGATAACGCCGTTGCAGGCGATGTGGCGAAGGACGACGGTGCGGAACGGCAGCGGCACCGCCACAGCTCCGGCAGAGATTGCTCCAGCGCCAGCGCGGTCAGCTGACTCAATTTTAAAATCGGCACACCGGCAGCGCCATTTCCGTGTGCAGGGCCGGACGAGGAAGAAGAGGAAACCGAAGAGGCGTCGCTGCCGCACTCGTGTGCGAAGTCGTGGTAGCGCGGGTGAAAACGCACAAGCGACGGCACGAAGCCACGCACGCCCGCACGCGCCGCGGCGGTGTTCGCTGGTGGGCGAAACATGTACCCCGCACACTCACGCAGCAGCTGGTAAAAGGACGTGTGCTGCTCCGCAAAGGCCTCCGCAAGCGAGAGCAACAACCGCACTCGTGCGCGCGTGCATGGCATCCAGAGTGGCGTGGCGCCGTCTTTTTGGCAGCCTAGAAAACACACCTTCATTTCTCTCAGCGCAGCCGCGACATCGCCATGAAACTGCTGCAAATAGTCGATGTCGTACCACGGTACACGATGCACTGCCACGGCACGGCGGAGAAGAAACATCATCGCAGCGGAGCCACGCAGCAGCGTGACGTCCTTCGCAGCTGGAACAACACCTCCTCCTCCTCCGCCAGGCGGGCCCTCGGCTTTATCTTTTGGCTCGGTGAGGACTTCCGTAGCGCGAGAGCCCGCGCTTTGGAGAGTGGATGCCGCAGACGGTGATTCCTCCTCCTCCTCTACCACCGTGTAGAACCCTGCAAAGCCGGTCACCGCCTCTCCGGGCGCAGAGACGATGCCGCCCTCTTCCATTGTCGCACTCTCTTCCTCTCTGTCCCCTCGTGAAATAGGGTGCACCTCCGCCCAGTGGCAGAAGTCGATGGCCACCAGCATCCCCAAGTAGTTCACGACCTCCGCTTCGTGTTGCCACAACGACGGCGGCACACTCAACAGCCAGTGACCTGTAGCAGTAGTGTTGAAAGAAGCCTCTTCCGCGCTCTGCTGCTCCCTGTCGACTTGCTCGCGCACCGTTCTCAGAATCGTGTCAAATACCTCTGCGTGCTCTCTCACCAGCGCCGTTGTGATCGGCGGCACGGTGGCGTGGGGCAGCTTCACCGGCACATCAGAGTGCTCGCCGTAAAGACGGCGGATAGCGTGCCGCACCGACTCTCCAGAGTAGACACGATCGATATCCATCACGTTTACCTCGCACTGCGTTGCCCATGAGCCCGTTGTGTATGGGGTAGAGGCAGGAATGCCGTCTGCGTTCCTTCAATCCTTTCTATATCGGTACTCTACGAAAACAAGAAAGGAGAGTGAGAAGCGCAGAAGCGGAAGTAGGCGTTCAACTGACTTATTGCATGTCATCTCTCATGAATGTGGGCACTTTGCGCAGCAGCGGTACTGCAAACCAAGCCGCATAAACAGCTCTCACTGCAACGTAAAAGTGGGGGGGAAGAGATGCTCTCTCTATCTTTGCCCCGCTGTCTGACTTGTCTGAACGACCCTTATTGAGGTTGTTGTTGCTTTTCTTAAGACCGCACAGACTCGAGTTTTTTTTCTCAGCTTTCGTGCATGGTTGATGTACGGCGTGCTTGAAAAGAACAGAAATGAAGAAAAGGGAGCAAACGTAAAAGGTGAATGTGAAAGCCCCAACGTAATATACATTGTAAGATGTGTCAAGAGAACAGACGAAAAGAAAGAAAAAAACATACAAGCAACAGAGGAGAACGGTAACGGTGACGCCGCCAATGCCGCTGTCGCTGTCGACAGCTCAGCGGTGTTAATGGGGAGTCAGACGGCGCAGGATGCCGATCGAACGGCGCTTCTCGCATTCGTTTTGCCCAAGCGACAATCGCCTGCTCCGTTCTTGGATGAGGAGACGCGCCACGGCGTCCCACCACTCCTCGGCGCGCAGCAAAGTTATGGGAGCATCTGCGTTACCCGTCGTCTTCACCTTGAGCGAGCGACACGGCGCTGCGTTCACGACAGGTGCGGCGGCGGAAGACATCTCGTGGAGAGCGGCCCCAGTCACGTCGTTGTTTTCTTCGTCCTTGACAAAGTTCGCACCAGTCGGCTCAAAGTCGCGCAGCAGTAACGATGTAGAGGGGGAAGTGGGCGCGGCGAGGTGAGAGCACAGTCCGACGAAACGACGATCTTGCATCGGCGCCGAGGGCGACACGTCCGGTGCGGCCTTCAGCGCCGTCTCCGTTCGTTCGTTCAGCTGCATCTTCGCGTTGCGGTTGCGAGAGGAGGCAAAATCAGCGGGCGTCGACGCCGAAATAGAAAGAAGGAATTGCCGCCATGCCGCGCCAATCTCGCCGGTACCGGCTGCAAGACGGTGATCCCACTCCTTCGCCAGCTCGTCCCCAGCGGCGTTGTTGCGCACTTCACTCGTCGTCGTTGTGTTGTCGGGCGTGACACCGGTGTCCGCTGTTGGGGCAGCCCGCTCGACGCCGTGAAAGAGTGCCTGCGTGGCCAGATTGGCGAAGCCGCTGCGCTGCAGCGCAGCCGGCGCCGAGGCGAGCGGCATCAGCCATTTATCTCCCATCTGATCAGTGGCGCCGCCACGTCCCCGTGCAGCCTCCCTCCGACACTGATACTCTAGCAACGGTAAAGGAAGCCCAACAGCTCCGCCGGCGCCAGCACCGCTGCGGCTGCTCTTCCGCACCCCTACACCAACGAGGCAGTGGCGAAGCTCCTCAGCTGGGTTCGCCGCTACGCCTGTGACGAGTGGCTCGCACGTTTGCATGATAGCCGTAGAGGAGAGCACCGCTTGATCCTCCACTCCCCTGGCCACGTTCTGGTAATGTAATCCGTAGCAGGTGAAGGGGGCGACCAGCTCAGAGGACAGGTGACCGTACGTGCACAGCACGCGTAACAGCTGAGCCGGATCTCGGCGCGCGGCCTCCAGTTGTTGCCGGACGCCTTGCACCGCAGGGTCCACCGCAGGTGGCTGCCGCAAAAAGCTCAGCGCTGACGCAAAAGCTTTCGAGTAGGGCATCTTGTCCTCCACAGTTTGAAGAGGCAACGGCGGCGGCTGTTGCTGTCCAGGCAGCACCGTACCGCCTTCACCACGTTTCGAATGAAACCCTAACGTGGACAGCCGCGATTCTGCTGCGTCCATCGAGAACGACAGGGCTGCGAGCATCTCTGGATTTCCCTCTGCTGCCTCCTCCAAGAGCCGACGATCCTCTGGAGAAAAGAAGAGGCGGTACTGGCAGTAGCGTAGCTCGGCATCGACGTCCAGCTCGTCGTCACCCCACCATGCATCTGTCTTCGGCATGTCTCGAATGGGTTGTAGCGCATCTGAGAACCTATTGCCGCCCTGCTCTGCAGCGACGACAGCGCTTGAAGAAAATCCAGTGAAACGCAGCGCCGTGGGAATGGTAGCCAGCGGCGAAGGGACGCCTGCATCCTCATTGAGTGGATTTTCACTTCTAAGGGTGGAAGCGGCGAGGAGCTGCATCGGGCCCGTGACGTACGAGCCGACCACATCGGAGAGAAAAAGACCGTCAGCGGTGTACAACGGCAGGCGTCGAATCGCCAGCCCTGCCTCCCACATGCACGGATCGTTGTACAGCTGCTGGTGACACCGCACCAGAAAGACCATGTGTCGGCGCAGCATGTCACGCCGCTCCAGTGACTCGTGGCGACACAACACTGCGCGTGCGTGGGCGTCGAGTACACGGCGGATGTACGCATTGCGGTGCGGACAGCGCCGCCACGCACGCTGAATGGCGGTGGCTGCTCGACGACGTTGCTGCTCGTCACGAAGCCGCACCGAACAGCGCTTACTGTGCTGAGCGCGTAGCATCGCCTGCACAGTGCAGAGTCCCGCTTCTGCCCCCATCATCTCCGCCTCTGTGTGACGGAAATTGCGTGAAAGCACGCTCTTCCTGTAGGTCATGTACGAGTGCGTAAGGCTGCCGCCTTGCCTACTCGTGCGGAACCGGTGTATCCATGCACGCAAGGCTGCGACAATCGTGCGCTTCGCAATCATCGCGCGAAGACTTCCGAGACGCTCCATACGATGCAGCTCCGCACGTATACGATGCACCATCCGTGACTCCATCGGGCGAGGTGACTCTGGCAAGACAAGAACCCGGATGAGATCGCCTCCATCCCTCTCCTCGTCCGCGTCACTAAGCGAAACGTACGAGATTTCGTTGAAGTTGTTTTGCTGTGGGGCGTCGGCCGGGATGCGTCTCATGGCGCGTCGCATTAACAGCAAACGACAAAGCCGTTGCAGTCGCGCGATCGCCACCATCGCCGTCACGCCTCGTGTCGAACGTAGAGAAGAATGTCGTTGGGTTGCTGAGATGGCGTCAACGGAGTCCACCTGTGAGGTGTGAGAGAGCGACGAGAACTTTCTATTTCTGTGCGTGTTCGCGTTGTTCGTACCGTTGCTGCTGCTAGAGCGATGTTGCAAAGGGGCTGTCGCCGCAAAAGGGGACGCTCTCGACACCCCGGACCCCCGCGGTGGAGCCGGCACGCGACGCGCCCTCGCCGGTCCTTGCGCTTCCGCCGAAGGCGCCTTTTTCCCCTTCTTGGTTTGGCTATTGGCGTTTTGCCCCGGGTGGGGAGCTGCGTTCGACGCCGTCCGCGTTACATTTTTGGATAGAGACGCCGAGGAGGAAGGTTGCGGTACAGGGGCCGTTGCGTCGGCTGCACCTGCGGGCGCGGTAGACGACGGTGCGGCGTGATCGGCCGCGGCGCGGGAACGCTGCGATGAGCTTCGCTGCCTTCCTCGCGCACCGCCCACCGCGGGAGGGCGTGCTCTTGATCCTTTCGACGCTGATCGTCTCTTCGCTGCGCCGGTCGATTCCGGCATCTTGGTGAGAATGTCAGTGCCTAAAACAAAACTTCTCCATTTAATCTGCCGGGGAAGGAGGTACCAAACCGTAGATTAATACCTCCACGAAGCGCAAGAGGCGGAAAGCGAATACCAACAGAAATAAAGAAAGGAGGGTGTGAAGTGCCAGGAGAAGCATCGACGCTGGAGACTCTAAGCGAAACTAGCGGCATAAGAAACATGGTTCGATTCACATGTTCGCTGAATGAATCAAAAAAAAAGGTTGCTAGCGATGGAAAAAGCGGGGCATTCACACGTCACCGCTCGTTGAACCTTCGACGCACGAATTCAATAAAAACACAAGAGAAGAAAAGAAGAACACAAACGGTGATATTTTTCTTTTGTTTGAAACGCTTCCATATGTATTATACTGTGAAGAGAAGCGCCTGTCATGAAGCATAACGGGAACTCACAACGGCGCAACGGAAAAATTCGGCTTTAGAAATGACGTTATCCCCCGGCAAGCAACATAATCGTCTAAACAATCAAACGAGGAAGAAGAAAGCCTGTGGGAAAACATATATATTTATACACTGATTTCTCCGCTCTTTCACAACTTTAGTGTCCCGTTGGGGAATTGCGTATCACCGTAACTGCCGAGAGAGTACACAGGTGCGGCGAACGGCTCGTAGTCCGAGTAACACTTTGCCATGACCGTATCCACCGCACGCTGCGAGAAGCCGCGGCAGACCGGGTTGCGCTCCACCGCCATCACGGCACGCCGATGCACGCATTTCTGGCCCCCTTCGAAAAAGTTAAAGCGGCCCTTGCGCATTTCTTGGCCCACAAAGCAGTCCCCGCTCAGGCGAGCAGCGCGAATTTCGCTGCAGGCTTGATGCAGGCAGTCGGCGCTTTCGACAGTGCCGCGTGCGTCGTCAAAGGCGTGGATGAGCTCGTGGCGGAGGTTGCGCTCCACCTGGTGTAGCACGGGCTGCTGAGACGCGACGAGCAGCTGCTGCAGCAACTGAGAAGACGAGGACAGCGGTGTCTGAGCAAGCGGGTTGGACGACGATGATGACGACGACGAAGTTGGTGCGCTGTCTTTCTTCTTAAGAAACGCCTCGGCGTGCTTCGTGTTAAAGAGACGGATAATGTGGTCCTCTAACAGTACCACATCCTTTGCTTTGCAATCCGCGCGAGCACTACGCCACATGTACCCCGCCAACACGCGATCAGGCGTCAGGCCGTGTGCGTCGTGCGCAGCCTCACTGTGCGGCACCAGTGGAAGACACTTGATGCGATCGCGCCGAAACGGAGCCCCAGCGATCTCTTCGATGCTCTTGATCATGTACTGCACCGTATTTACGTTGCGCAGGACGTACTCCACTGCGCCTTCGCAGACATCGTGCGGGCTGTAGAGGTTGTCGACGTTGACCTCAGCCGTGGCGTCCTCACGCCCCTTCGCTGGCAGCGGTTCGGGACGGTGCGCATCCGTCATTTCAGGCAAATCGCAATTATATATATATATATATATATATATAAGAGAG